TTGCAAATCTGATCGATTCGGCATGCACAACAAAGCTGTTGACTAAAGTGCACTGCCTGGTTCTGGCCCCCATACCAGGCCATAGCAGGGCAAAGTGCTTGCTGCTTGCTCAGCAGTGAAGTGAAGGAATATCGTCAAAATGCATGCAACAGTACTGGGAAACTGAAAAGTTAATAATTGAAAGAGGGGTCAGTACCCACCCTTATGGAACTGCACGTAGTGAACTACTGCAGTCCAGCCCACTGCATTTTATACTAAGATAGTCAAGCTCTGTTATCTGGGTCTGAGCCTCAGGACACCTTTGTCCTTTTCCTACGGCAGCAGGGAGTGAGCATCTCAGCATATCCAGGTAAGTCAGGAGACCCTGAATAGATTTTGTCTGGGAAGGCAAAGCGAAGTGTTGGCCAATATAAGGGGAATCATGTGGCCCAAGGTATATGAAGCAGCCACCGTGATGAAGCCATAGCAGATTCACCCAGCTAGGTAAAGGGTAAAGGGACCCCTGACCATTAGGTCCAGTCGTGGCCGATTCTGAGGTTGCGGCGCTCATCTTGCTTTATTGGCCGAGGGAGCCAGCGTACGGCTTCCGAGTCATGTGGTCAGCATGACTAAGCCACTTCTGGGGAACCAGAGCAGCGCACGGAAACGCCGTTTACCTTCCCGCCAGAGCAGTACCTATTTATCCACTTGCACTTTGACATGCTTTCAAACTATTAGGTTGTCAGGAGCAGGGACCAAGCAACGGGAGCTCACCCCGTCACGGGGATTCGAACTGCCAACCTTCTAATCGGCAAGTCCTAGGCTCTGTGGTTTAACCCACAGCACCACCCGCGCTAATTGCCCCTAATTAAATATAGCGAACCCACCGCACGGCAGGCCAATCAAGCGAATTTCTACCATTTACCACAAGCTATTTCGTAGGGAGTCTTGTGTGAGAGAAACTTCAATTCAGGGGGTCTCTGGCAGGAGTCAATCAAACAAGGAAAGTTTAATTTGCAAAAAGAGGTTGGTGAAACAAAGTTGTGTCAAGAAATGCGTTCTTTGAGGTAGAAGTCAACTTATTACTTAAACTAAATGATGATGATGATGATGTATTATTCATACATCTGGCTGGGTTTCCTCAGCCACTCTGGGCGGCTCTCAACAGAATGTAAAAAATACAATGAAAAGCTGTTGCAGGACTGAACAGTTTTCAGTTGCTAAAAATCTGTTGTTACACTTCAGGCAGATGTTCAGGTTTCTAGAATAGGCGGTAAAATGACTATAATTCAATTTCTGCTACTTCACTCTCATTCCTTTACTTAGTTATGACAGTTAAATACTTTTAACACAGCACAGCTTCTTTCACAGCTTAATACTTTGGTTCATGAGTGAGGGGCATTTTTTGTCAGTTAACAATCACACTCCTGAGGTATTCCAACAAACTAGTTGGCATACCTCAGGCGTGGGGTTGTTAACAGACCCAGGGGGTCGCCCCACTCCTTGTTACTGGTTTGGGAGTCTTCTTTATCTAGAACAGGCATAGGCAAACTCCGGCCCTCCAGATGTTTGGGACTACAATTCCCATCATCCCTAGCTAACAGGACCAGTGGTCAGGGATGATGGGAATTGTAGTCCCAAACATCTGGAGGGCCAGAGTTTGCCTATGCCTGATCTAGAAGACCTCTCCCTCCTGACTGGAATGAGTTCCATGTAAGCTGTATCCTCACAGCTTCTCCCTCTCCTGGCACAGACTCAGCCCTCCAGTTTGTGGGGTGTGAAACACAGAGCAGTCAAATACAACATTCCTAGAGTGGACATGTTTAGACATGAAGAGGGATGTTTGTCCAGCCAGTAGATAAACTTCCTGTTTCCTCCTGGGCTGGGGCAAATTTTCTCTACATGTGACCAGAGGTGGGCGTGACCTCACCTGTGCAGGTAACAAAAGCACAGGACTGGCCACCACATCTCTCTCTGACTCCATTCCGCAAAGAAGCAACAGCTCCTTAGCCTGAGATGCTCTCTTGTCTTCCAGCCAAGGGAGGACAAAGTAACTATCTTCTTATGGGATAGATTCCAGGTGTATATATTTTGTAACTTAAGTCTGCCTTCTAGGATCCATCTGTGAACAGAATGTGTGAATAAACTATTTTATACTTTTTATACAAGACTGTGTCGTGTCTATTCTTTTTACGAGGGAATAAAGGGAATTACCAGGACACTTATTTTAGAGGCTTAAGCAGGCATGGCAAAACGTTATCCGCTGTGTAAGTTTTAAAAAGGGGAATGTTACTCTGCAAAATTATAGAACTTGTTAACACAAGTTGGGAAGGATATAATTAAACAATATATCCCCTCCTGCCTCCCTGAACATTCCCACACAGTTAACTCCTGTCTGTATCCCTTCCCCAGACCCTCAACCCAGTCTCCCTATCTAAGCTGTGAGGCTCCTTCCTCCAGCTAAAGTTATTCTCCTCAGAGCAGATGTTCAACTCAAATCAGAACTCATTCTCCCTCAGACAAACCCTATCCTAATTCCTATCTACCATCTCAAATCAAGCCCTGTCTCTCAAACTATCTCGCTCCAGCTCTTTCCCTTCACTACCCCATCTAACTTTCTCCCTCAGAAACGGCCCCTTTTATTCTCCCGCCCAAAGTGCTGGCTCCACCCCCCTCTGACTAGCTGCCTTGGTAGCCAATCAGAGAGAGGCTGCAGCCCTCTGGTGGAATTCTGAGGGACTGCATCACCAGATTCTGGTCTGACTCTGCTGTCCCTCACAGAAGCCTAAGCTGGCCTGCGCCTGGCCAGTTCCTTTGTGATTACAACACCTTCCATGGGGCCAAAATTTGGGAACTATTAGGGGCTGGGGGCTGGATGTTGAAGCTTTACATTTCTGGTTTCCTCTATCTGCTTTATTCTTGTTTATTCTTTATTCTTTTATTCTTTTAACTCTTGTTATTCTTTTATTCTTCTAATGCTCTATTTTACCGCAAAATAAACTAATGAAAGAGAACCAGTAATTACAACTGCCCAGCCCTGCAAAGGAACTGGCCCCTAAGGCAGCTAAGGCTGCCGTCCTGGGACACTTACTTTGGAGTTAGCCACTGTCACAGAGTTCTGTGAAGTTAAGGGTTATATTACATAACATGCCTAAAACTTTTAAGTATGCCCTTCTGTTGCATCCAACTTCCCAATATTCTTTCCTTCCTCCCTGAATGGTCACGGTATACTGCGTACCCACAACCCTGGGACCGTTCCATTTCAGACTGAAAACAGAATAATAATAATAATAATAATAATAATAATAATAATAATTTATTATTTGTACCTTGCCCATCTGGCTGGGTTTCCCCAGCCACTCTGGGCGGCTTCCACAAAGACAAAAAATACACTAAGATGTCACACATTAAAAACTTCCCTGAGCAGGGCTGCCTTAAGATGTCTTCTGAATGTCAGGTAGTTGTTTATCTCTTTGACATCTGATGGGAGGGCATTCCACAGGGCGGGCGCCACTACCGAGAAGGCCCTCTGCCTGGTTCCCTGTAGCTTTGCTTCTTGCAATGAGGGAACCGCCAGAAGGCCTTTGGCGCTGGACCTCAGTATCTGGGCAGAACGATGGGGGTGGAAACGCTCCTTCAGGTATACTGGGCCGAGGCCGTTTAGGGAAGATAGCATGTGCATGTACTCATTGCAGATGGAAATCTAGCTTGTTAGAGAAGGTGCTTGCACCTAGACCTCTGCCCTGATATGCTAGTTTTTTGTTCACAAGGAGAGCATTGGCATTCAATCTCCCACCTGCATCCTACAGTCGCAGAGTCCCAGGAAGATTGCTTCACGTGATGTCTGCATATTTGAATGGCATGAATGAAATTAGGAGCAGGATTCTCCAAGGTGGGCAAGAATATGGTTCAATTGTACCTGTGAAAGTAGGGGAGTAATCCAGTACTTCCCAACCATATCAGGGCAGCTACACCACTGGAACAGCTGTGATGTCCTATACCCCCTTGGCCTGGAGGGTGTAACCCAGAAGATGTATATATCCTATATCATATAGCTGTATAAAACGATATGCTAATAAGTTGTTGTTTTGGGGTGGAAGGTACATTTGCATTGATTCCAGTTGTGTAAAAATATCATTTAGTTGAAATAGCGATGGATGAATGTTGTGCCATTTGTTTTTTCATTCCAGAAATCTCCAACAACAGACTTGACTCAACACATTTGGTTAAAAAGTCTTTTGGGAAAGGAAAGTTAATGATGTGAGGTTTCCGCGCAAAATGAAATACTGATTAATAACTCCGTTGGGGAGTGACAGAAGAAATCGGTTGTCCCAGAAAAGAACATCATGACCCCCACATCAGCAGGAGTGGCATTAATTCATTTGTTAACACTTCAGCTTGTCTTAGTGGGAAACATTTTCTGTGGGAATGTGCTTATTTGGCCAGAGGATGGCAGCCACTGGCTATATATCAAGGTCGTTATTCAGGAACTGCTGCATAGAGGTCACAATGTCAGCATCCTAACCCCGTCAACAACCTTTTTAATAAAACCCAGTGATGATATAGCGCAGGGGTGTCAAACTCAAATTCATCGGGGGCCGCATCAGCAGTTTGGTCACCCTCAAAGGGCCGGTTGTATCTGTAGGTCCTACAGTAAAGTGGAGGTTTCCTGTGTAGAACGGCCGGCGCCGCTAGAGGGCAAACGTTCTCTGGCTTGTAGGCTGCCGCGCATGCGCTGAAGAGGTGGCTTTCTTGTGTCAAAAAAAAAAAGTGAGAATAAAAGGTGAAGGCTGGCGGCCGGCGGTGGCTACACGGGCCACATGACGAGGTCTGGAGGGCCGGATTCGGCCCGCGGGCCTTGTGTTTGACACCCGTGATACAGCGGCTGCCAGGTTTGAGGTGTACCAAGTGCCCTATGGAAAGAGTGCCATAGACTCCTCTATGCAGGAGCTCATAATGTTGGGGTTGAACAACAAACCAACCATCCTGACTTTCCACAGCTTCTACCAAGCAGCAAGGAAATGCGTAAGAAACAAATGAAATTCATAGGCAGAGAACTCATGGCCCGCCTGAAAAAGAGCACCTATGATGTTCTGTTTGCGGACCTGATCTCACCCTGTGGCGACCTCATTGCTCTGAAGTTAAACATCCCATTTCTGTTCACCGTAAGGGTCACGCCAGCCTCAACGCTGGAGAGACACTGTGGCAAAATGCCTGTTCCTCCTTCGTATGTTCCAGCTATCATGTCTGGGCTCACAGACAGAATGTCTTTTGGAGAAAGGGTGAAGAATATAATATCTTACCTTGTGCAAGATTATATTTACCAGAGCTGGTGGGGAGAGTGGGACTCTTATTACAGTCAGGTTTTAGGTAAGCCTGTTTTCGTTTCTTCTTCCCAAAGGTAGAGTAGATGCTCTAAAGATGGCAAGGATTCCAACTTCAGTCCTTGGCATGGCCAGTTAGAAGGGGCCTCTAAGTAGCAGGATTGGAAAGGCCTCATCCTGGGCCTGTGTAGAGCCACGGTCAGCTGGGAAAAGACTCTACTAAGCTGGAGAGCCTACTACCTGCAATGGAGGGAGGTGTAGATCTCACCTGCTTTGCTCCTTTATCGCTTCACCCAGTTGCTCTGCCTGCTGTATTCAACTTGAAGTAGAATAATTTCTAAAATGAATTTGGAATTGAAGCATAGGCATTCTTTTGGAATTTTCCGCTCTTTCCCACCAATGTTCAAGCATGGAGAAAGCAAATTTGATATTGTAGCTATTGTTCCACCAGCATTCTTTTGTGCTGCTTTATTTACTGATGTGTTCTTCTGGGGTTTGGGAAGAAACTTTGTTTGGTTTGCAATATTATGTGAACCTTCCTAAATTGCATTTAATAATAATAAATATAATAATTTTTTATTTATACCCCGCCCTTCCCAGTTTGGAGGCTAACAGCAAATTGATTAAAATGTGATTTTAAAACAACATAAAATGCAGCATCAGTATCAATAAAATTTGAAAATTCAGGGGTCATTTTTTTTGGGGGGAACCCAGTCAGTAGACATCAAAATGATCACCAGCGCTAACTGGCCAAGTTGGTCCTACTAGGGCCAGCAAGGTGACCAGGGAAGAATTTAAATGTGGGGTCCCAGAAAGGGTTTCTTCATAGAAGAGAAAAGGAGAAAGGGAATAGAGGATCAGGTTAATTCAAATTGAAGGCCAGGTGGAAGAGCTCTGTCTTACAGGCCCTGCCGAAGGAGATCAAGTCCTGCAGGGCCCTAGTCTCGTGGGACAGAGCATTCCACCAGGTTGGAGCCATCACTGAAAAAGCCCTTATTATTTCCTTAAATAATTATTTCCTTAAGTTATTTCCTTAAATAACACACACACACGGAGACACAAGCTTGCAGCTTCCTGAATTTTGCGATGCCGTTCAACCAACCCAATAATTTGTACAAAATATGTGTATGTGCATCGCACACTTGTGGATCAGTAACGTAGAAAGAGAAAGAGACGCAAGGAAGATGGAGGAATCAAAAGCTTCTGCAAATGGTGTTTGCCCTCATGTTGTATACACAACTCAGTAACAAGAGGCGGAACAATGAAGGTGTTTCTTTTGCTTTGGTTCCAGTGCCTTAGCAACAACTCTTTGGACCTAGAAGGTCCTGAGATCTATATATCCTGCCAGAAGCTTTCACTCCACCAGCCCTGGGATCTTAATAGCCCTTTTCAGACATTTGTCTGAATGTGTGTGTGCTGAAGGTGGGGAGGAAGGAGCATGAATACATGGTCTCCTCCCCCAGTTGCTGCCCTGCCCACTTTTGTGCTCCAGATATTTTGGGCTACAACTTCCATTAGCTCCATCCAGCAACTGGAAGCATCAGGTTGGGGAAGGCTGGTCTTACCAGTTCTGATTCACATTCAGCTACCAGTGCTGACTTCAGAGCTAAGGGTTCTTTCAAAAAATATCAGACATGGATTTTCCTCTGAAAGAATATCCATCAAGGAGCCACCGCCCATCTTGGTTCCTAATGAATAAGTGTACATGTATTTTTTCAAGCACAGCTTTGTCCCCAACTATTGTTCAAATCTTTAGGTGTTCATTTGAAATGTAATGTGCAAACTAGCTTTCAATATTTCTAGAAACGAGTTTGCCAAAACCTTTGCATTTGTGAAGTAACTCCGTTTCTCTTCCTCATTCATCAGGGAGACCCACAACTCGTTGTGAAGTGATAGGGAAAGCAGATATCTGGTTGATCCGCACCTACTGGGACTTTGAATTCCCGCTGCCTTTCCTACCAAATTTTGAATTTGTGGGGGGTCTGCACTGTCAGCCAGCCAAGCCTTTGCCAGAGGTAATTCTCTCGCTTGACCTTCACTTGTGCATGATAACCATGCCTGGATCTTGTTCAAAGCACCTCCAGGGAAGGGGAGGGCGTGTGGTGGCATGATAAAGAAGTGGCAAGGTCAACTTAGTTTACAGAGGTGCCACTTGGGCCCCACACTGTGGGTGCCCAACATTGGTGCGCACGGCACCACGCCGTAATGACGTCATAATGTTGTGGGATGTAAGAATCAGGTGCAGTCAAACACAACATGGCTAGAGTAGATATGAAGGTTGTCTCAGTCCTCCAGCCGGAACTTCCTGCTTTCCAGGACTGAGACGAAACTTCCTATGTGTAACTTGAGATGGGCGTGGCCTCTCTTGTAGTAGAAAGAACCAGAACCACAGGCTGGCGACCATCTTGTCTGTCTTGTCTCTATCAATGCCATCTTAACAAGAGCACTACTAAGATGTACCCTTGGCTCCAGGCCCATAAGGAGATAGTCACCACATTTAAACTATGTTCTAACCTTTTAAGTCTGCCTTCTAGGTATCTTTGTGTGAACAGATGATTACTTGTGAGTAAACATTTTATACTTTACAGAAGACTGTGTAGCATCTTATTTTAGGAGGGATTAAACGGGGAAAATACCAGGAAATATTTACAGTGACTCTAACAAGTCTGAGCAAGCTTTCTGCTGTGCGTGTGTTTAAAAGGGGGAATGTTAACTCTGCTGATTTTGTTGAACTTGTAAAGACAAGTTGGGATAGGATATCTTAGACAATATATCCTCCCCCGCATCCCTAAACATTCCCAGAAATGTGACATGAGGCAATGACATCACGGCATGGAGCACCATCGTGATGACACAGCGCATGCGCTACGGAGGCCACCGGGCATTGAGCACTGCGGCTGCCTCCATGCACCACCATGTATTGCAGCTACTGACACAGCGCACCACCCATAGCTGCTGCACACCGCCTTACCAGCTGAGTCACCACCGCAGCAGCCTTACTATCGTGTGGGTTTGCGGCAACATTCAGAGTGGCAGAATAGGTAGAAGAGCACATCTGATGTGTGGAACACACAGTCTACTCATTGTAGCAGCTGTTCATTCCAACAAAGCTTGTGAAGACACATGGATTGTGTCCCATGTTTATGTAGAGGGGTGTGGGGTGCTTTCTGGGTGGGCTACAAGCTTAAAGTTAAAGGCACAGTAGAAAAAGTGGGGAATCGGTGTCTCCAACTGATGTGACCTGTGGTTCTGCTTGTTGTCTGCCCTGCACCCTACCTCTACAGTCCTACAGGCCAGTGGTTGCCATTGGAACCCCCTTCTGAGGAGCCTGAAACATACAGTAGTTTGAAAACTGGACCTTAAAGACCACCTTCTCTGTTACAAGCCAGCACACCTTTAAACATTGCTACAGAGCCTAGGACATGCCAATCGGAAGGTCGCGGTTCAAATCCCCACGACGAGGTGAGCTCCCGTTGCTTGATCCCAGCTCCTGCCAACCTAGCAGTTCGAAAGCACGTCAAAGTGCAAGTAGATAAATAGGTACCACTCCGGCGGGAAGGTAAACGGCATTTCTGTGTGCTGCTCTGGTTCGCCAGAAGCGGCTTAGTCATGCTGGCCACATGACCCAGAAGCTGTACGCCGGCTCCCTCGGCCAATAAAGCGAGATGAGCACCGCAACCCCAGAGTCAGCCATGACTGGACCTAATGGTCAGGGGTCCCTTTACCTTTACTCATGCATTAGGTTTAAAAGCATGGAGAAATGTTGTTTGTTTGATTGTTTATAAAGATGGCTTTTATCTCTTGACAGGAAATGGAAGAATTTGTCCAGAGTTCAGGGGAGCATGTCATTGTGGTGTTTTCTCTGGGCTCTCTTGTTGCAAGCTTAACAGATGAAAGAATAACATGCTTGCATCAGCACTCAGCCAACTTCCACAGAAGGTCAATGTTCATGTCATTTGGTTAAAAATGCAGTTGTAAACAGTACTGGATTTATGAAAATGCTGCCCTCATTTCCTTATCCCTGCCATGATAAGGGAACACTTTCCACATTTGTTTTCCTTAAAATCTACCCGTACTTAAACATCATCACTTTTTAAAAAATAAATAAAAATTAATTATTTATTGAGTACAAATTAGAAAAAAATACAAATATACCAAAAAAAGGAAAATACATGTAACCAAGAGAAAATTAGAAAAGATTTTACCTCTTCTCATATTTACAATTATTTACACCTCTACAAAACAATATTCACAATAAAGAAAAGAAATGAAAGGTAAAATATAAAAGAAAAGAACAAGAAGAAGATAACGAAAAGGAAGAAATAAGATCAAAAATGAGAGTTTTAAAAGTAGGTAAGTATTCACTATACTTTTTATTTTTGTAGATTATGAGAATTCTGAACAGCAGTGTTTTGGGTTGTTTTCAGATGACCTATTTGCTGAGCGTTCATCCTGTTTTATTTGCACAAGGTTTGCAGGGGGACTACAGTATGTTTGTAGGAAAGTTATAGGATGTTGCATCAAGAAATGGTTACCCCACACTTTCCAGGGCAATTTCCTGCCACTTTCCTTCCCACAAAAAAGTCCAATTTTGGGGAAGCAGGTTTGTTGTTCAAGAGTGCCAAATCCACTTTAATTGTGCAGCTCAAATTTAATTTTGCACCTTGTATATCTTCGTAAGTATAAATGCCCTATTAGTTGCCTACTATCTTAATGTTGCCTGTCACCCCAATCTCTGAGCGGTGTGAGCAGTGTTAGAAACTGAGATTTGAAAGCTAGGAGCTAAATAGCACCTTAAACCTAAGTTATGGGCACAACAACGGAATGTCTAGGTGCGCTTTTTTTAATAACAAGAATACAAAGCTAAAAATGAATGAATTGCAGCTAAAATATTATATTCATTTTTCACATGGTCTAGTCCTTCTGCTGCCCACCCCCCTAATATTATTAAGAGCATCTCTTCTCCAGTCTTCAGAGAGTAACTGGAAGTGGGCAGGCAGGAAAAAGGTCCTCCTTTCCTTCCACTCTGCAGTTTTCTTCTGAAATCTCAGACATAGTACTGCGCCCAGAGTTCAGAAACTGCTCACGCTAATGAAATTCCCTGTTGCAAAATATGCCTAGAACAATGGGATTTTTGAACACTGGGTGTGAGGTTCTAGGGGTTCCATGCACTTACCCAGGGTCTGTGTTTCCTTTTGGAAATGAGGCACAATGGAGACTGTGGTGTCTTCAGGATATATGGTTTATTTATGCATATATACAACCAAAGCCTGCGATGGAGGGGTTCACAGCATGAACACCCCTAGTGGGTCTTCTTTCTCCCATAGCTGCAGCTTTGGATTCAAACAGACATCCAACATCTCTCTCCCTCTCCCTCCCTCCCTCCCCTCCCCTCCCCTCCTTCTCTCTCTCTCTCTCTCTCTCTCTGCAGCTTGCTGCTTTCCTTCCTGGTCACATCACACAAATGGGCTTGATTAAATTCAAACGCTAGATCCAGGGATTTACAGATGTCTAGCGCCCACAAACTCATAATATTAATATATGTTATAGGCTCAGATGTACTCCAGAAATATGGTGCACGATCATTTTACTGTCACTAAAGAAAGTGGTTAAGCAGCTAGTGTTGATGAGCCATATTAGAAAACAGATGGGCCAACAGTTATTGGAGAAGCTTTCAGAATCAACATGGTCCTGTTTAAAAGCCAAGCAAAATGAGTAGACGGCCTGTGAGCCAGTTTAGTTTTCTTTGCAGTCTGAGTTACAGATAACAGTTTTTCCTCCCCCCCCCCCCGATCCAGGTTCTTTGGCGCCACAAAGGGAAAAGGCCAGAAACCTTAGGAGCTAACACCAGGCTTTATGAATGGATACCACAAAATGATCTTCTGGGTAAGAGAGACTTCATGTTTCATTGCACCTTTGGCTTCATTGCAGCGTTCTGCCAATCCCTAGGAAATATCTCCTCCATCCTCACTTTCCTCACTCACTGACAGCCCTGGATAGTGGTAGCAATGAGCATCTTCCCCTTCATTTATTCCATTCCTAATCAGTAGCTTCACCCTGCCCCTTGTATTCTGTTATGCCTGTTTTATTGCTGAGCTTGGATCATTTTCAAAATTAATCACAGAAATGGCAATGTGTGTGTTGGGCAGGGAAGAAGGGAAGATGCAAACTGGAAAATGGTGAGTGCACACATGCTGTAGCCCAGGGGTTGGCAACCTAAGACCCATGGGGTCGTTTAACTGGCCCATGAGCCGCCCCTGAACCAAGCCACCCACTCGGTGAGTCCCCGCACGCTGCGCTAAACCGGCGCAGCGCAGCGCAGGGACTCACTTTCGCGGCGCCGGAAACTGCATCTGTGCAGATGTAGATGCCGGAAATCGTGTCTGTGCAGACGCAGGTGCCGGAAATCATAGGCAGGCGGGTGATCTGGCCCACGAAGGGATCTCCGCTGGAGTGAACTGGCCCATGGAAGGTAAACCTTGCTGACCCCCGCTGTAGCCTGAAAAAGGACATTTACAAAACACAGAAAAGAACTGTGGTTTGCTTATGCATTGACAACACACCATAGCTCCAAAGATCCAGGGAAATGTTTGGATGGGGAGAATCTCGACGTTTCCTTTCTAAATGGTCAAGGATGCACCTTGTAGGCTTCTGCACATTCCTTTCTCACCTACGGCTTTCTGGTTTGACCTGACTCCTTGTCTGGTGCAAGCTGTTGGAAGAAGCTCTTTGGTTGTGCTTCTCCTGACCAATAGTAGAGGCAGATCATTATCCAGAATGGATGCTGGTTGACCTGCCCCCGACTGCACAATATAAGATATAAACTGTCTCTGCTGTTTGCTTCTAGTCCTTCTCCAGGCCTCCTGCCATCACCAATTTGTAGAGTTCTAGATCAAACTATTATTCTTCACAGCTGTTTCCCATACTTCCCCCCTCTCCAGTTTCTGCTAGAGTAGGCCAGCTTCTCTTGGGTGCAATTTCTTGGAATCCTTGGGGGAAAGGGCAAAGAGGCAGGGGAAACAGCTGGGGTACACCCCAAGGAAAGCCAAGGCCCCAGACAGTGCTAAATTTTTAGTACTTTGTGTTTTCAACTATTCAGGACACCAAGGACTGCAAACTCTCTCTGTTTCACAAAGCTGTTGTTGTGTGCTTGGCCAGAGTCAGCGTTGAGTTCTAGAAACATTACTATGTATAGTGAACTGCAATCTCCAGAGATTGCCTGACAGTTGGACTATGCTGGGCACTGTTGCTAAGAATCAATGATAATAACCTACTTGTCACATCCCATAGTCAACAGAGTCTCATCTTCTCCTTCCAGGACATCCCAAGACCAAAGCCTTCATAACACATGGTGGGATCAATGGGATTTATGAAGCTATTTACCATGGCGTTCCCACAGTGGGGATTCCCATGTTTGCTGACCAGCCTGACAATATTGAGCACATGAAGGCAAAGGGGATGGCTGTGGGGCTGGACATCCAGACAATGGATGCAGAAGATTTAGTGGATGCTGTGAAGGCTGTCATTCTCAACGCCACGTGAGTCAATCGCAAACTCTCCTCTGAAGAAGACATCTGAAGGAAGCCCTGTTTAGGGAAGTTTTTAATGTTTGAAGTGTTATTCTGTTTTTAGTGTTTTGTTGGGAGCCACTCAGAGAGGCTGGGGAAATCCAGCCAGATGGGTGGGGTATAAATAAAATTATTATTATTATTATTATTATTATTATTATTATTAATTAAAGACTGCCGTCCTTTGAGTTCTGGCTCTATACTAATTTGTTCTTATTTCTCTATCTTCTCCCTACCCAATCCTCCAGATATAAGGAAAATGCAATGAGACTGTCACAGATCCAGCATGACCAACCAATAAAGCCACTGGACCGGGCTGTCTTGTGGATTGAGTTTCTTATGTTAATAGACTTCCCTCTATCTCTTTGCGGATTCCATATTTCTCTTACATTTAAGTAATCCGTATTCCATTATTAAAAAAGAAAATTCCCTTATATCTGTGAAGTTAGTCTAGGCACAGCCCAGTGTTGTTATTGGAACCATATTTTGTCAGATAATTTTTAAAGCCATCCCATTCAGGACCAGACATTTCATGGGGTGTCAATTCCACTTTCCCTGTCTCATGAGGACTCTACTGGGGTTCTTCAACACTCTTAAGTTCCTTTCCTTCTTCCTTGGGCTCCGAGCTCCACATCCATGACACCACAAACGGGACTTGTAACACCTGCTAAACTGCAATGGCAACGTGAGTTTGGGCCCTATTCCAATTTGTTCATCCTTTTCTCTCTTTCCCCCTCCCCTTCTTTATCCAATCCTCCAGGTATCAGGAAAATGCAATGAGGCTGTCACAGATCCACCATGACCAACCGATAAAGCCGCTGGACCGGGCTGTCTTTTGGATTGAGTTTGTCGTGTGCCAGAAAGAGGCTAAACACTTGAGAGCAGCTGCCCATCACTTGACCTGGTACCAATATCACTCCCTGGACGTCATTGCCTTCTTGATCGGTTGCATGGCAGTTTTCATATTCATTGCTGTTAAATGCTGTTTATTTTGTTGTCGGAAATGTGGCAGGATTATTAGGAAAACCAAAACAGAGTAGCTTCTCCTGGGACCCGGCCATCGTTCTGTGGCTTGCATTATTCAGTATACTCAGACTTAAGCCCCATCATGAAATCATCTTCCAAAAGCTTTAATCGTTTGCAACAACTTTCAGCTGAATTGAGAAGCCAACCATAGCCATGCTCCATTCAGCAGCTAAGAGAAAGTTATAGGTATCAATGATGGTTCATTTTAGCATTGCTTATTATTTTTTTCCAAATATCTTAAACACAATGCAGCTTAACAATATTATTCTCCTTTCAATCTATATCTTATCCGAATTAACTTCCCTCCACCCCGCTTCTACATTGCTCTTACTAAAGCTTGATTACTATATATACATTCTATAAATGTCTATAATTTCTTAATAATTTTTTGTATTATACTTTAGACATACATTCCTTATTATATTACAGCATTACATCTTGTGGTCTACCCAAATGTATACAATAAACGTTATGAGTTTTATTTCAGTCCTGTTAGTGTCTTTATTTATGTACAGTTTTCTCTAAGTATACCATAAATTTAGACCATTCTTTATGGAATTTCTCATCGTCCTGCTATCAGATTCTTCCTGTTAGCCTTGCTATTTCTGCATACTCCAATACTTTCTGTTGCCATTCTTCAATTGTTGGAATATCTTGTTGTTTCCATCTCTGTGCAAGGAGTAGTCTTCCTGCTGTTGTGGCATACAGGAAGAATTTCTGATCTTCCTTTTTAATGTCCTCTCCAGCCATTCCTAGCAAAAATGCCTCCAGTTTTTTATAAAAGGTGTACCTAAATATCTTTTTTAACTCACTATACACACTATCCCAAAAAGTGTCACCCTTGTCACACAACCACCACATGTGGAGAAAATTTCCCTCTTTTACAGTGCATTTCCAACAGTTCTTATTTTTCATTTTGTACATCTTTGCTAGTTTGGTGGGTGTTAAGTACCACCTATACATCATTTTTAACAAATTCTCGTCATGGATGCGGTAAATTTTATTCCTAAATTCCATAGTCTTGTCAATTTCTCATACTCGATATTATATCCTAGGTCCATTGCCCACTTAGTCATGACCTCCTTAATTTCTTCATCTTTTGTATGCCATTTCAACAAAAATTCATATACAGTGGTACCTCGGGTTACATATGCTTCAGGTTACATATGCTTCAGGTTACAGACTCCGCTAACCCAGAAATATTACCTCGGGTTAAGAACTTTGTTTCAAGTTGAGAACAGAAATCATGCTCCAGCGGTGCGGCAGCAGCAGGAGGCCCTATTAGCTAAAGTGGTGCTTCAGGTTAAGAACAATTACAGGTTAAGAACGGACCTCCGGAACGAAGTAAATACTTAACCCGAGATAGCACTGTACTTTAGACAACATCTTTGTACGACCTTGTAATACCCCAGTCTCCAGTATTGATCTATCATGATTAAATCCATATATTTTTTATCTTTAAGGAATATATCATTAATTTGGTGATATTCCATCCATCCTGACAATCTAAGTTTTAGTTCTTCATAAGGTCTGATTTTGATTATGTTATTGTCTTCTTTCAACAAATCTCTATAGGTTATCCAATCTCCTTTCATATTTAATTTTTTAACTGAAAAGGCTTCCCTGCTTTGATGGAACTTATTCTGTAATCTCCAGAATTAGCATTGTGGCTCAGTAACTGCTTATTTGGAATTGGTGGAAACGCTCAACACATGTCTCAAAAATTGTGTATTACTATTGCCAAAACTGGGGACGTGGGTGGCACTGTGGTCTAAACCACAGAACCTAGGGCTTGCTGATCAGAAGGTTGGCAGTTCAAATCCCTGTGACGGGGTGAGCTCCTGTTGTTCAGTACCAGCTCCTGCCCACCTAGCAGTGTGAAAGCACGTCAAAGTGCAAGTAGATAAATAGGTACCACTCCAGCAGGAAGGTAAATGGCATTTCTGTGTGCTGCTCTGGTTTCGCCAGAAGCGGCTTAGTCATGCTGGCCACATGACCTGGAAGCTGTCTGCAGACAAACGCCAGCTGTCTCGGCCTATAGAGCGAGATGAGCGCACAACCCCAGAGTCGTCCGCGACTGGACCTTACGGTCAGGGGTACCTTTACCTTTACCTTTTATTGCCAAAACTAAAGCCGGAAATCAAGTATATCACATGGAGCCACAAGGAGCGTGCACTAATTATTTGAGGTAAATTTCCCCCAAAATATAGGCAAGCATTTACACTGCTTTGAAAGGAAGGCTTAACAGCATTTTATATACATTGTTTGTCTGTGTGGAAAGTAAAGAGTTAAAACTGTACCAGGCATTTTTTTTAAAAAAAATGTACTTTTGAAAGAACCAGATTTCTCCTTTCCCCAAAAGTTGCTTAAAGTGCTGTAGATCATAGCATAAGTAAGAAAGATTGACATAACTTCAATATGATGTGAGATTCTCCATCATGAACCTTATTTGACCTTGGTACAAGCCTGAAATCAGCCTCATCAGCCAACACAAGGAAATTTAACTGCCAGAGAGCAGACAAAGGATAGCCAGTTCAGCCAGAGGCCACCAGGATGGCTTTCATTCAAACACTTAATTAGCAGGACGGGTGAGGTGAGAAGCAGGAAGGAAATTCTGTGATAAATTCAAAAGCACAATAAAACTAACTGCTCATCTCAAGGTCTCCATCCCTTCTCCATTGGCATGCCTTTCCCAACAAGGTATAAAAGACCCCTAAATTTAAAAAGTCTGTTGTGTTCTTCTTGCTCCAACTGAGAAGAGATCTGCGCTTCCAAAGAATCAGCACACATCCTCTTTGCTTAAGAATATATTATTTCCAAGAATTACCAACAATGGAGGAATGGCAGATGAAGATGATGGACTTTTTGGAGCTGGCTGACCTTACTGGAAGAATCCGTGATCAGAAAGAGGAGGAGTACCAAGAAGAATGGAAGAAATATAAGGACTCTTTAGCTAAATATTCTAAGATAATGTAACTAGAATTACTTGTAAGTACCAAATTGGCCTAGGAGTTAAACATGTTAAATTGTATAACATTATGGATAGAAGATAATTTGAAAAGAAAGACAGATGTTAATCAATTAAGTTAATTTTATTTAAAAGTAGTATTGGAAAACTGCTACAATGACCTACCGGTATATGGAAACTCAGCTAGGGGGATGTGAGGAAGTCATTTAACAATGATAACAAAATTGGGATTTTAACAGTGAGGATAAATGTTTGTTTGTTTGTTTGTTCTTTATATTGTAATGTTTTTTATTTGTTATAAAAAAATTATTTTGTTTGTTATAAATTTGGGAAATTAATAAAAAAAATTGGGGGGGGGGGGAGAATAGATATAGTATTTCTTCCCCCACCTCCTCCCTCCATTTATTAACTTAGTGTGGGTCCCGCTCAGGGCCAGATTTAGATGAAGAAAAGCCCTAGGCTACTCCACTTGTGAGGCCCATCCCAATCCCCCACCCTCACGACTAGAAGAAAATGGAAGAGTGTTATAGACAACTCTATTACTTCCTCACTCTTGAGAGGTAGGAGGAACATACTGTGGAAAGAATTGATGGAGCCTCAAAAACTGGAAAACTTTACTGGAAGTTGATATAGTAGGAGGCATTAGAAAAAAAAGGCAAAGGACCCCTGGATGGTTAAGTCCAGTCAAAGGCAACTATGGGGTTGTGGTGCTCATCTCGCTTTCAGGCCAAGGGAGCCGGCGTTTGTCCACAGAGTTTTCCAGGTCATGTGGCCAGCAGGACTAAACCGCTTCTGGCGCAATGGGACACCGTGACGGAAACCAAAGCACACGGAAATGCCATTTACCTTCCCACCGCAGTGATACCCATTTATCTACTTGCACTGGTGTGCTTTTGAACTGCTAGGTTGGCAGGAGCTGGGACAGAGGAACGGGAGCTCACCCCGTCGCAGGGGATTCAAACCGCCAACCTTCCGATCGGCAAGCCCAAGAGTCCCAGTGGTTTAGACCACAGCGCCACCCGCGTCAGTAGGAGGCATAGAACTAATTTGAGACATGTCTCCCCAAAAAAATAAAACTAGATTTGAGGCGACACCAGTATTGGGAGCCGTTTCAAGATTTCCATCATATATGCAACACACATACATGCATGCAGTGGAGATTTAAAATCAGGGTTTTTCTTCTCTGAGATGGGCTGCCTTGCCAGGCCGACAAGCCCCCTCTGCCCCTCACTTCCCTCTACAGTACCTGCAGACCATTGGAACCACAAATGGTCTCCTCTGCTCAATCCACCAGAGCCTGTCTCTGTATTAACTCTCTGAGGGTTTGAGAACCATTGGTTACCCTCACTTGCTTTAGCTGGCTGGTCAAAGCCTTTCCTGGGGTGTGGCTGCTGCTACATGCTGATGGCTTTTACAGACCCTCCCAGTGTCCCTATTTTCCAGGCAAATCCCTAATTTGGAGAAGCCGTCTCAGTTTCTGATTTGATCCCACAATGCCCCACTTTTCCTTAGGATGTCTCTATTTTCATTGGAGAGATGTTGGAGGGTATGGAGTTATCCAACCCCCGAGCTGTCTTGTATAGGGAAGGTGGTTTTTTTTAAGTTTAATGTTTTATTATGTTTTTATATATGTTGGAAGCTGCCCAGAGTGGCTGGGGCAACCCAATCAGATGGGTAGGGTATAAATAGTAAAATTATCATTATGGAATGGGACGTCCCTATTCTCACTGGAGAAATGTTGGAGGGCCTGCTTTTAGAAGCCACAGGTGACAATTACAAGACATTTGTACTGACAGTAAACACAGAACGAAAGTAATATATTGAAGCATTTAATGCGCCTTGTTTTCATCAAGGTAAACCACATTCTTAGTTATTTTAATTCCAGTAAAACCAAACCAAATGCAAACAGCCAACAAGAGTACAAGTCCCTGCTCTCTGAGGACAAAGGGCAGCAGGGAGGGAGGGAGGCAAGGAGTCAACTCACTGCTCTGTTAGTGGGGAGGACATTCACTTTGTTCACCTCAGCTATGGTCGGATGAATGCTTGGTGGCCCAGCAGAAAAAGGATAAAACCCGCATGGGGGGAGGGAAAACCACAAACCAGTGGGCCGGTCCCTTTCCCCTGAAGCAGCATTTCTTCTAAACAAGCAGAAAGACAGCTCAGATAGGTGTGGAGTCCCCTTGTCCCACTGGCTACCAATTCTACAGGAAGGTAGTGAGAGACTGCTGACGAAGGCATGTCAGAGCACTGGCGGAGCCAGTCTTCCTGAGCAAGGCGATGGTGCAGGGAATGGATGGGGGCAAGACAGAGGGGGGAGGACAGCGCCGTCTCTTTAATCCACCTCCTCCATGCGTGAGGCATCCTCGTCTCCTTCCAGAGGGGGAATATCTTCAGAGACAGCGGCAGTAGGCTCTTCAGCAGCAACCTCATCTTCCTCAATCCCGAGCCCCAGCTTGATCATCCTAGAGATACGGTTGGAGTGAGTCTGTCGGTCCTCCAAGGAGAAGCCAGAGGAAAGCAGTGCTGTCTCCAAGAGCAGCACCACAAGGTCCTTGAGGGCCTGGTCATTCTTGTCTGCCTCAGCCTTCTGACGCAGTGTCTCTACAATGGGGTGGTCAGGACTGATCTCCAGGTGCTTCTTGGCCATCATGTAGCCCGTGGTGGAGTTGTCTCGCAAGGCCTGGGCCTTCATGATACGTTCCATGTTGGCGGTCCAGCCATAGGTGCTGGTGACAATACAGCAGGGCCAGGAGACCAGCCTGTTTGAGACCGTCACCTTTTCAACTTTCTTCTCCAGGATTTCCTTCATGAGTTTGCAAGGATTCTCAAACTTGGCTTTGCTCTCCTCCATCTTCTTCTTCTCGTCCTCATCCTCTGGCAGCTCCAGCCCTTCTTTGGTGACGGACACCAAGGGCTTGCCATCAGATTCCTTCAGCTGCTGGACGCTATACTCATCAATGGGCTCTGTCATGTACACCACCTCAAAACCACGTTTCCTCACTCGCTCCACAAAGGCAGAGTTAGCCACCTGCTCCTTCCTCTCACCTGTGATGTAAGAGATGCTTTTCTGGTTTTCCTTCATACGGGACACATATTTGGAGAGGGAATTCATCTCGGCACCGGAGTGGGAAGTGTGATACCGCAACAGTTCTGACAGGCGTTTCCTGTTGGTAGAGTCCTCATGGATCCCCAGCTTGAGATTTTTGGAGAAGGCCTCGTAGAACTTCTTGTAGTTTTCTTTGTCCTCCGCCAGCTCTGCAAAAAGCTCCAGGCATTTCTTGACAATGTTCTTGTGAATCACTTTGAGAATCTTGCTTTGTTGCAGCATCTCATGGGAGATGTTCAGGGGCAGATCCTCGGAGTCCACTACACCCCGGATGAAGTTCAGGTACACTGGGATGAGTTCATCACAGCTGTCCATAATGAGACGCGCCTCACATAGAGCTTGATGGTGTTCTTTTTCTTCTTGTTCTCAAAGAGGTCAATGGGGCCCGGCGTGGGATGAAGAGAAGCGCCCGGAATTCCAACTGCCCCTCCACAGAGAAGTGCTTAACAGCCAGATGGTCTTCCCAATCATTAGTCAAGCTCTTGTAGAACTTGCCATACTCCTCCTGAGTGATGTCATCAGGGTTTCGGGTCCAGATGGGCTTGGTCTTGTTCAGTTCCTCCTGGTCGATGTACTTTTCCTTGATCTTCTTGGTCTTCTTCTTGCTCTTGCCACCTTCCTCCTCTTCATCTGAGCCCACATCTTCAATCTTGGGCTTCTCCTCCTCATCCTTGGGGGCTGCCTCTTCATCCTCCTTCTCCACTTTTTCCTCTTCTGCCTCATCGTCGCTGATTTCCTTCTCACACTCCTTCACCAGATAGAGGGTGATAGGGTAGCCGATGAACTGGGAGTGCTTCTTCACCACTTCCTTGATGCGACGTTCCTCCAGGTATTCAGTCTGATCTTCCTTCAGGTGCAAGATCACTTTGGTACCACGGCCAATGGGTTCGCCATGGTCAGTTTTGACAGTGAAGGAGCCGCCTGCAGATGACTCCCAGGCATACTGTTCATCATCGTTGTGCTTGGTGATAACTACAACCATCTCAGCCACAAGGAAAGCAGAGTAAAAGCCCACACCGAACTGTCCAATCATGGAGATGTCTGCACCAGCCTGCAAGGCTTCCATGAAGGCTTTGGTGCCAGACTTCGCAATGGTGCCCAGATTGATAAGGTCTTCCTTTGTCATGCCAATACCAGTGTCCACCAAGGTGAGGGTGCGATCATGGGGATTGGGAATGATATCTATCTTCAGCTCTTTGCCACTTTCCAGCTTTGAGGGATCTGTCAGACTCTCATAGCGGATCTTGTCCAGTGCATCAGAGGCGTTGGAAATGATCTCCTGCATAAAGATTTCCTTGTTGGAGTAAAAGGTGTTGATTGTCAGGGACATAAGCTGGGCAGTCTCTGCCTGGAAGGTGTGTATCAAAACAACTGCTGTACAACTACTGTTTATATGGTTTACTTGAACCCACAGGGACACAGGTAAGAAATATTTTCATGAACAGAAGGATGGAGGATGTGCGCAGTATAAGAAACCAAGTTTGTGTTCAACCAAAAGATGAGGATCTCCCATTCCTTCACTCTGTGCCGGGTCGTTCAGAATATCCTCAAAACCAATGCAGTCACAGTTGCCTTTCCAGATATCCAGGGACAAGTTAGAACTAGGAAGGAAAGGAAGACGCTGGACCTGCTTCACTGCTTGGAATTCCATCTGCAGCTTCAGTGGTGAATGCAGCTCCGGAATATTTCTCAGAGTAGAAAAATTCATTTTATCTTGATTTAGCAACAACAACAACAAAAGTATCCGGTGTGTCCAAAGGATGAACAGGGAAAAGTTCGCTCTTCACATTTGTAAAGCCTCTATTTATCACATCACATCACAGCTTTCAAATGCTTCAGCAGCTGACAAATCAGACACTGGAATACAGTCCTTCAGCTGAGATCCATCCGCTCTGGAATTCGCCTCAAGCTGTGTTTTTTTATAAAAAAAGAAGGGGGGAAAGGACAGTCGTCAAGGACAATGGGAGATGTAGTGAAGCAACCCCTGTAGCAAGGCCCCTAGCCTTCTCCCTGCCCCATGCAAAGGTTCCCTTCCTCTTACCTGGTCTTTTTGGAGGAGGCTTGGGCAGCAGCCACAGTGGTGCACGATGGAGATCCTGCAAGAAAGAAGGGATCTTTGAAGCACTGCTTCTTGCGCTCAAATCCTGTTGGCTGCTTTCGCAGTGGCATCTGGGTGGCCCCTGGGAGAAGAGGAGGCTGGACCAGATGGCCCCTTGGCCTGATCCTGCAGGCCCTTCTGGTGTGTGTCCTAGGACCCCCCTCCTCCTCCCTGTCCCATTACCTCAGGGGCAAGAGGCCGTCGTCTGGGCTCCAGTCCCTCCCGGAGGAATACGGCGGTTCCACGGCTGAACTTCTCCCTCGCTGCAAAACAAACAGAGACATCAGAAGGCAACTGGCCCCCAGCCACGCTAGTCCCAGTCTGGGGCAGGAGGGTGGGGGACCTGGGAAGGGGCATTTCCACTTACCTGATCTTATCAGGGCTCCCCACTTCTCCACCGTACGGGCGTCCGACCGGCCTAGCACAGAAGCAACAGCCAAAGTCTCCTCCCTCACCTGAGAAGCTGTTTTAATGGGAGGAAACTTTGGCTGCTGCTTCTGTGCCAAACCGGGCCGGGATGGAGCCATGCCCGTACGGAGGAGGGGCAGTGGGAACGCGCCGCGAGGGACGTTAGCCGGGAACCGCCTGGATGTTGTTCGGTTCTTCATCCCGGGAGCTGGCGCTGGAGCCTCATCCCTGGAGGCGTGGCCCTGTGGAGGAAGAAGGACATCACATAAGAATGGAAGCCACAGGTGGGGAGAGTGTTTCTAGGACTCCCAAAACATGTTCCACAAAGATCCCTTCATTCCCTCTGCCCTCGTACCTGACGTTCGCCACGTCTCTCCAGGGATTTGGCTAGAACAAAATACGTGTTGGGGAAAGGCTCCCACACTGCAAAGAAAAAAGAAACATGAGCAGGCGCCTGGCTCCCTGCCATGCTAGCCCCAGTCTGGGGCATAAGGGTGGGGGACAAGGGAAGGAAGCATTCCTAAAATATGGGGCACTCAGTTGGCATTTCCACTTACCTGAGGTGGGAGCCTTTCCCCCTTTGCTCTGGCCGGCCTCTTGTCTAAGGAATAAACAAGCTCAGTTAGTATGATTGGGGGAGACAGGGTGAATTCTGGGATTGATCTCCACCAGAGCCAGATTATTCAATGGACAGAGTAGGCCTATGGGCCAGGCAACAACGGATCAGAATAAGTACTGTTTGTTTTGCCTATTAATTATTGTTGGTTGGTAAAATCAAAAATGTATCAGGATATGATTTGCGAGGAGCCCAGCAATATTTTGACTGCCTGGGGACCTCCACAGGTTTTAATCTGGAACTGTGCCCAACCAAGGGCCAACTTTGGGCTCTGAAATGTCAAGGGCACCCTGTAGGCAGAGCCGTAGCTGGGTGATCTTGTGCCCCTGGAGAACCGTCCAGATCGTGCCCCCTAGCCGCGGACATATGAGCTCTTCTTTCTGCCTCTCCTCCAACCCTCCACCCATTCTATTAAACCCTCTATTAAAAACCTTTTCTTATGAGGCAATAGCCCAGTGTGAGCGCACCGGCCGTGCCATCCTCAGACTGCCCCACCCCTGCCACAGAAGGGCACAGCATACCTGCAGATGTTGGTTTTGGGCGTGGCACCGCTGGGCTGCTGCTTGGCCGGAGCCCTGACCGGCGCTTCCAAACCACGGCCCTGCAAAGGAAGAAGGACATTTTACTCTCCTGCCATAGGCATCCACTCTAGGGGACAGGGGTCCCGTGGGCCCTCCCCAAAGATTTTCTTCTGGGGCAGATTGCCTTTCAGGTTTTCTCTCCCCCCAGCCACATCAGGGGGCGGCCAGCCAGCAGAGGGACCTAGGGGGCAGGTGGGAGGGTGAAGGCCGCTCCCTGCAAGGCCCTTTCCACCTGGCCTGGGGGGGGCGAGGCCCAGACCCACCAGCCAGCCCTACTGAAGAGGCTCCTCCTGAGGCCGGAGGAATGTCGCCCAGCTAGTGTTTTATTGTTTTATTGATTTATTATGCTGTAAACCGCTTTGAGATTTTTATTAAAAATATAAAGCGGTATAGAAATATAAATAAATAAATATGTGGGAAACGAATTCCCCAAGGAATTAACATACCACAATGTCCAGGGATATTTGTTTCTGCTTCTGCCTTCCTGCCTGAGAACCTGTGAGACAGAAAGGAAAATAAAAACAGAGGAAGTTACCAACCAGTAATTCACAACAGAAAATATTTTGCCCACAGCCAGCCCTGGCTGGGCTCCAAACTCTGACCATCTCCTTGCAGAGCTTGCAGGGCAGCAGTTGAAGAAGGAGCAAAAAGGGTTTTCTTGTGTGCGTGTGTGTTTCTTTGTGGCTGATTAGCTGCTCTCCCTGTGCAAAGGTCAGAGGGGGCAGGGTTTCTGTTGAGGCAGGTGATTAGCTGTGGGAGGACCTTATCAGAACTTGTAGGGCAGCGGCGCGCACAGTTTGATCCATCTTTTAGATTTAGGGGAGCTAGTCTCAAATGTTTGTTGGGGGAGACCTAGGGGTTTTTTTGTGGGGGGAGTTATTTGTCCTGTCTTCACGCTTTTTATGATGGAGGACCGCTGTAGCCACCCCCAACGACACGTTCTCAAGATGGAGGGGGAGGGAACAGCTGCAGTCACCTGCGGTTCCTGCGCAATGTTTGCCATCTTGCCAAAGGTTGCAGGCAGCTTTACCTGCAGCAATTGCATGTTGATTGCCCTCTTAAAAGACAAAGTCCAGAACTGGAGGAATGTGTAGCTACGCTCCAAAGAATTAGGGAGTTGGAGCTTTTCTTGGAAGCAACAGAGCACAACGTCTCCACCAAGGAGGAGACAGGGGACTCTCCCCTGAGAAGGAGGCTAGTACACCAACACAGGAGCCAGATATGTGGAGAAACGTGACTCAAAGAAGTAGGAGGCCCAGGGTTCGCTCTGATTGTTTAGAAATACACAATCGCTTTGAGGTCCTCTCCCTAGCATGGAAGACGAAGAGCAGACTCCATTTGAGGATCTCTCCCTCATTACAGTCGATCAGGTATATGAAGACGAGCAGCAAAGTCAGTCCTCAGGGAATGTGCAGGCGACCTTGGAACGGACAGCTCACGGAAGAACCCCGACCAAACCTAAGAGGAGGCGTGTAGTGGTGATAGGGGATTCCCTACTGAGGGGAACAGAAGCAGTGATCTGTGGGCCTGACAAGATGTCTCGGGAAGTGTGCTGTCTCCCGGGCTAAGATCCAAGATGTAACTGAACGACTGCAAGGAATCATAAAACCCACTGACAAATACCCCTTCCTCTTGATTCATGTGGGAACCAATGACACTGCAAGCAATAGCCTCCAGAAGATCAAAAGAGACTACGAGGCTCTGGGCAGGAAATTGAAGCAATTAAATGCACAAATTGTCATCTCATCTGTCCTCCCAGTTGAACGACGTGGCCCAGGGAGAGAGGGAAAAATAGTGGAAGTGAACAGCTGATTTCGCAAATGGTGTAAACAGGAACGGTTTGGATTCTTAGATCACGGACTGCAGTTTCTTGAAGATGGACTTCTGGCAAGCGATGGGCTGCACCTCACAACGGTTGGGAGAAATGTTTTTGCCAAAAATCTCAGAAACCTCATCAGGAGGGCTTTAAACTGACTAATGTGGGGGAGGGAGACAGTGCTCCTGAAGGTAGGAGTCTATCAATTGATGAAGATGATCATCCAAATGTCATAGACCAAATGGAGCAAACAGCACGCAGACCTAGTGGTGGGAGGAAAAAATCCTTAAATAAGAGACACGGGGGAATGATTAATGGACTTCAATGTCTGTACACTAATGCGCAAAGCATGGGAAATAAACAAGATGAGCTTGAGCTCTTGGTACAGCAAACTAAATATGACATAATAGGCATCACTGAAACCTGGTGGGATAAGTCCCACGATTGGAATGTAATAATGGGGGGATACAATCTATTTCAGAGAAACAGACCAGACAAGAAAGGAGGAGGAGTGGCGTTATATGTCAGGGATGTGTATACCTGTGAAGAGATCCAAGATTTAGAAGCTCAAAGCCAAAGTGAGAGCATTTGAGTCAAAATTAAGGGAGAGAAGAATAACAGTGACCTCATTGTGGGAGTTTACTATAGATCCCCAAGCCAAACGGAGGACATAGATGATGCCTTCCTGGAACAGATGGCCAAGCATGCAAAAGGAAGGAGACAGTAGTAATGGGTGACTTCAATTACCCGGATATTTGTTGGATGTCAAACTCAGCCAAGAGCATAAGGTCAAACAGATTCCTCACTGGCCTTGCAGTCAACTTCATTGTCCAGAAAGTGGGAGAAGCAACAAGAGGAACAGCCATTTTAGATCTGGTCCTAACCAATGTTGATGACCTGGTTAGTGGGGTAGAAGTGGAAGGATCATTAGGCGCGAGTGATCGTGCTCTTCTGAAGTTTACTATACAGCGGAAAGGAGCAGCCAAGCATACTAGGACTTAATTTCTTGACTTTAAGAAAGCCGACTTCATAAAACTTAGGGAAGTGCTGGGTGAGATCCCATGGACAGTAATACTAAAAGGAAAGGGAGTTCATGATGGCTGGGAGTTTGTTAAGAGGGAGATACTAAAAGCACAACGTCAGGCAATACCAATGAGACGGAAACATGGAAGGTGCCTAAAGAAGCCAGGGTGGCTATCTAAAAAACTTTTAACTGAGATAAGATTAAAAAAGGATGTGTACAAAAAATGGAAAAGGGGGGAAACCACCAAAGAGGAATTCAAACAAATAGCCAGCACGTGTAGACACAAAGTCAGAAAAGCTAAAGCACAGAATGAACTCAGGCTTGCTAGAGAGGTTAAAAGCAACAAAAAAGGCTTTTATGGGTATGTTCGTAGCAAAAGGAAGAACAAAGAAACAGTGGGGTCACTCAGAGGAGAAGATGGTGAAATGCAAACAGGGGACACAGAAAGGGCTGAACTCCTCAATGCCTTCTTTGCCTCAGTCTTCTCTGATAAAGAAAACAATGCCCGACCTGAAGAATTTGGAGCAAATGATTCAGCAGAGGAAACACAGCCCAGCATAACTAAGGAGATAGTACAAGAATACTTGGCTAGTTTAGATGTATTCAAGTCTCCAGGGCCAGATGAACTGCATTCAAGAGTATTAAAAGAACTGGCAGATGTGATCTCAGAACCACTGGCAGTCATCTTTGAGAATTCCTGGAGAATAGGCGAAGTCCCGGCAGACTGGAGGAGGGCAAATGTTGTCCCTATTTTCAAAAAGGGGAAAAGAGAGGACCCAAATAATTACCGCCCAGTCAGTCTGACATCAATACCAGGGAGATTCTGGAGCAGATCATTAAGCAAACAGTCTGTGAGCACCTAGAAAGGAATGCTGTGATCACCAATAGTCAGCATGGATTTCTGAAAAATAAGTCATGTCAGACTAACCTGATCTCGTTTTTTGACAGAATTACAAGCCTGGTAGATGAAGGGAACGCAGTGGTGTAGCCTACCTTGATTTCAGCAAGGCATTTGACAAGGTGCCCCATGATATTCTTGTAAAGAAGCTGGTAAAATGCGGTCTTGACTATGCTACCACTCAGTGGATTTGTAACTGGCTGACTGACCGAACCCAAAGGGTGCTCATCAATGGTTCCTCTTCATCCTGGAGAAGAGTGACTAGTGGGGTGCCACAGGGTTCTGTCTTGGGCCCGGTCTTATTCAACATCTTTATCAACGACTTGGATGATGGACTCAAGGGCATCCTGATCAAATTTGCAGATGACACCAAACTGGGAGGGGCGGCTAACACCCCAGAGGACAGGATCACACTTCAAAACGACCTTGACAGATTAGAGAACTGGGCCAAAACAAACAAGATGAATTTTAACAGGGAGAAATGTAAAGTATTGCACTTGGGCAAAAAAAATGAGAGGCACAAATACAAGATGGGTGACACCTGGCTTGAGAGCAGTACATGTGAAAAGAATCTAGGAGTCTTGGTTGACCACAAACTTGACATGAGCCAACAGTGTGACGCGGCAGCTAAAAAGCCAATGCAATTCTGGGCTGCATCAATAGGAGTATAGCATCTAGATCAAGGGAAGTAATAGTGCCACTGTATTCTGCTCTGGTCAGACCTCACCTGGAGTACTGTGTCCAGTTCTGGGCACCACAGTTCAAGAAGGACACTGACAAACTGGAACGTGTCCAGAGGAGGGCAACCAAAATGGTCAAAGGCCTGGAAACGATGCCTTATGAGGAACGACTAAGGGAGCTGGGCATGTTTAGCCTGGAGAAGAGGAGGTTAAGGGGTGATATGATAGCCATGTTCAAATATATAAAAGGATGTCACATAGAGGAGGGAGAAAGGTTGTTTTCTGCTGCTCCAGAGAAGCGGACATGGAGCAATGGATCCAAATTACAAGAAAGAAGATTCCACCTAAACATTAGGAAGAACTTCCTGACAGTAAGAGCTGTTTGACAGTGGAATTTGCTGCCAAGGAGTGTGGTGGAGTCTCCTTCTTTGGAGGTCTTTAAGCAGAGGCTTGACAACCATATGTCAGGAGTGCTCTGATGGTGTTTCCTGCTTGGCAGGGGGTTGGACTCGATGGCCCTTGTGGTCTCTTCCAACTCTATGATTCTATGATTCTACGATTCTATGATTCTATGATTCCTTACCAGCCAGATGCACTGACCCCTTGCAATTCTGCCTGCGCTGGAGAAAGGGGAGAGATGTTTTGCTCTCTGTCCCTCAGGACATGGATATGAGAGCCACACCATGCAGCCCTGACAATATCTCAAGGGCCGTCACAGGGAGGAGGGAGAAAGCTTGTTTTCTCCTGCTCCAGAAGCCCTCAGGACCTGAAGCCGTGGCTTCAAGCTACGAGAAAGGAGATTCCGACTCAACTTCAGGAAGAGCTTTCTGACAGGAAGAGCTGTTTGACAGTGGGAAGAAATCCCTCAGTGGGCAGTAGACTTTCCTTCCTTGCAGGTTTTTCAGCAGAGGTGGGATGGCCATCTGCCATGGATGCTTTAACTGAGATTCCTGCATTGCAGGGGGTTGGTCTAGATGACTCTCGGGGTCCCTCCCAATTCTACAATTCTATAATCCTATGGGGTTCCAGGTTCTCACCTTTGTGAAGCTCACTCATTGCGGAGCAGTAGAGCAGGGTCAGGTTTGGAAAGCAGTACAGCAGACTTGAAAGCAACTCTCCTTCCTTGAGAGTCTGAATGTTGGGGGGGAGGCGGTTGAGAGTTGGTTGAGAGTGGTGGGTTCTAGAGGTGGGGGCAAGGGACAGCTTGCGATTGGCTGCAGGAGCTTCCTGCACTCAGAAGGAAGCCGTATCAGATGCTTGGCTTCCAAAGAACGTCTGCAAGCCGGGCACTCACTTATAATTGTTTTATTTATTGAGTTTATATTTCACCCTTTCTCCCGAAGGAGGCCAGAATGACATGGGATGTGGGTCTATTCTTGGCAGTTTCCCGTAGCTATGACACAGCTGAGGCGCAACTGGGAACATTGTTTCAATAAAAACCAGTGACTTAAAAGTGCCAAAACTTACCTGCTTCGTTAGATGTGTGTCAGTAATGCAGACAATAGTGGTTAGATTTCTGATTCTGTTGGATTGCTGCTAGATTCTGGCTTCCTCACACGTAAATGTGGCAGACACAACTAAAGAACAAATACTGTTGCTCCCATCATGCCTACTTGGACCCATCAACCCTTACATCCGTGCCTTATTTTGCATGCTTAAATAGTTCAATAAATAAACTCAAACAACAACAACAACAACTGTGGAGCTGTGAAAAATTCACTCTGTGTGTTTTGCTCCTTTTTTGTTAGTTATTCCCCTTGCAGAAGAAGAAGAGGGTGGGGCTTTTCGTCTTCCTGCCCATCCCTTTCCCCACAGAAGCAGCCTTCCGCTTTCCTTTCACTTGGCTGAATCAGGCCCCACAGGTTTAATCAGATGTGCATCCAAGGGCCAGTTCTGACTATCTGTACTATCTGCACCCAGTTTACCGTACGGTCCTCTAAGGAGGCCTTTCCCATCCACTGTCCTGTTTTCCAAAGAGCGTTGTTGGTAGCGATGGCCTTGGCTATCCATGCCAATGAGCCTTTGATAGTATGTCCACCACTTAGGAGTCCCAACGAAAGCAGAGCAGAAGGGGTGCTGCTGCTGCTATGGAGCTTGTGGCAGAGCTTGGGCTCTTAACTCTTCCGTTAGCATCACAGGATTGTGGAGGGACCACAAGGACAATCCATCCGCCTGCAATGCAGGAATCTGTCGGCCAAAGTGGGGCTTCAACCCATTACCCTGAGGTTAAGAGTCAGGCTCTTCTGGCTGAGCCATGATTGGTGGTCAGCATTTAATCTCGGCCTCTCTGGCAGTGAGGAGCATTGCACCCCTTTGCCACATTTGAGGTGTATTTGAAGAAGCTGAGGCCACCATGTATACTCTCCCATGGCACATATTTAAGGTTACATGTTGTCCTTAGTCATCCGCATTCTATAAGATCAGCAGCTTTCTAATCTTAAATACAGTACAGTGCATAGCTGTCACAGTTTCACTATGTGAAGGGACAGTCCATTATTCTAGTAGCCATGTCCAGCTACTGTCCCAATTGATGGAGCTATCCACTACTGATGCCCCTTAAATTTCAAAGGAAGCAGCTCCTCTCCCTCCCTCCCTGCCGGCCAGGGAGGAGGAAGGCTCCAACTGTGTTGCTTGGCTGTGTTGCTCACCCAATAAGAAGTCTAAGAACGACTGGGGGGTGGAGCTTGCATGCCTTGTGTGTGGCTAGTTAATGCAAGCTGAGGGGGGTTTTGAATGCTGGACGCCATTTTGTTGCACATGCTGCTGCAAACTTTGCAGTGCAAAGCCAGGCCGGGGAGCCATCTTAAGTTGAGACTGCATGGGCCTTGTGGTGCATTTGATTCAGATTCTATTCAGTTGAACCTCTGGTTACAAAGTTGGTTGGCCAGTGTTCTCGAAGCTACCAGCATGAGTTTGACCAGCCTGCAGGAGGACAGGAAGACTGGAGTGCCTGGAACAGGTGAGGCTGCAGGTCCCTTATTTTGGCTGCTGGTCCCTTATTTTCAAATCTTTAAGTTGACAGCTATGATACAGTGGTACCTCAGGTTAAGTACTTAATTCGTTCCGGAGGCCCGTTCTTAACCTGAAACTGTTCTTATCCTGAAGCACAACTTTGGCTAATGGGGCCTCCTGCTGCTGTTGCGCCACTGCTGCGTGATTTCTGTTCTCACCCTGAAGCAAAGTTCTTAACCTGAAGCAATATTTCTGGGTTAGCAGAGTCTGTAACCTGAAGTGTATGTAACCTGAGGTACCACTGTATATCTGGAATAAGGTCTTGGGGTTTACTTGCATATGAAAAGATTTTAACCCAAAGATATTGGAAGTAATAATAACTACCCACTTAGAACTGTCATTTTAATATTCCATCATCCCTTTTCCCCCTTTATTAGTATTCTTCTAGAAACTGGAGGGTTCTGCCTCAGAACATACAGGTTGATTCTGTGACAGACCAGAACCAAAATGTAACCGTCTGTATGTTGTTTCTATGTTGCACACTACTTGGAGATTTAAAAAAAATTAAGAAGTTTATATCGTGGTACCTCGGGTTACAGATGCTTCAGGTTACAGACGCTTCAGGTTACAGACTCCGCTAACCCAGAAATAGTACCTCGGGTTAAGAACTTTGCTTCAGGATGAGAACAGAAATCGCACGGTGGCGGCGCAGCGGCAGCGGGAGGCCCCATTTGCTAAAGTGGTACCTCAGGTTAAGAACAGTTTCAGGTTAAGAACAGACCTCCAGAGCGAATTAAGTTCTTAACCCGAGGTACCACTGTAAATGCTTTTAAATATATTTAAATAAATAAATATGTGGCATAAATGCTACAGAGAACTCTTTTGGCTTTTAGCATTTAGGTGAAGTTTGTGAGTTGTTTTTTTATAGCTGTGTTCAGTATTCCTTGTCTGTCTGTGTTAGCACTGTGTTGTGTTGTGAATACACTGCACACAGTCCTGTAGTGTATTATCATAGGCAATCAGCTCCACAATTATGTTTTTTTTCTGGCAGTTATTATTCATCGTTTCCAACTGCTTAAGCAGCCACCAGCCAGCAAGCAATACAACAACCTAGATTTGTGGCAGACAATTTTATTCCCTGCTCACTGTAAAAAAATATACCGGTATACTACTATTATTGGCACCCAAACCTTGTGGGCGTAGTAGCCAGCCTTCTGACTGATGCAAAAAATGGGCTTTGGCTTTTGCTGCTCATCTCTGCATGGGACTCTGAGACCCCTAAGTCCATGATGCAATGCAATCATAACTCTGCTACATGCGTGTGCCCAGGGCCAGATTTAGATTTGATGAGGCCCTAAGCTCCTGAAGGTAATGGGGCCCTTTATATGTCCAACTGTCCTTTGTCAACAACAAATTGTCGCTGTTTTTTGTGTTGGATATACTGTATGCTATATGGTGATTTATGGACCTAATAGGTATCTAAAGCCATTTGCACACAACAAAATATGTATTTAATCAAAGTAATTGTTGAACTGAAATACAATTAAGAAGTATATAGCTGTGGGTTAAACCACAGAGCCTAGGCCTTGCCGATCAGAAGGTCGGCAGTTTGAATCCCCGCAACAGGGTGAGCTCCCGTTGCTCGGTCCCTGCTCCTGCCAACCTAGCAGTTCGAAAGCACGTCAAAGTGCAAGTAGATTAATAGGTACCGCTCCGGCGGGAAGGTAAACGGCGTTTCCATGCGCTGCTCTGGTTTGCCAGAAGCGGCTTAGTCATGCTGGCCACATGACCCAGAAGCTGTACCCCAGCTCCCTCGGCCAATAAAGCGAGATGAGCGCCACAACCCCAGAGTCGGTCACGACTGGACGTAATGGTCAGGGGTCCCTTTACCTTTATATTAATAGTGAAATTTGGGGGGGGGCAAGAGAGTGGGGCCCTAAGCTGTAGCTTGTTTAGCTTATATGTAAAACCAGCACTGGCTAGTGTATTCATGGGGGTGGAGAGTGGAGGAGAGAATGAATGAGATGGATCTTGCTGTTTTACTGCGTGCCTGAATCTCTGTGCTTTTGCAGGCAACCTGTCAAGTTCTCCTGAGACAAAGAATTCCAACGCATTGGGGCCACCACTGAAAATGCCCTGCCCTGATTCCTTATTGGCTTGTACCAAACACGGAACGCAGAGCAGTATTTTGACATCGTATCTCATGGGGATAGTCACAAAAGGAGCATTAAGGGAATGTCAAATACTGTCTTATACGGAAGGAGACAGCTTGGTATTGCCTGCGTGGGCTGCTGGCCTGGCTTTGAGACCGGGTTCTCTCTCAGGTATACCAGACTTAACCTGGGAGATTGCTCTACTACAGAGATGCAATCTTCAGTTCACTATCCGTGTATTGTATTTGCTGCAGTAGTGGAAGGGAGGAGTAATTATGCCCATGTTGAGATGATGCGATTTAACTTTATTTGGTCTTTTTCAAATAGCAAAACCAAATGATAGTTTGTTAATGAGCCTTGATCCGTTTATTTAATTTTTAAAAATTGAGCTGTATTCTGAGCAGTGCAGCCAAGCCATTTACAGCATAAAAGCTGCAGCCATTGATTCTTTTTCTGCATCACTATTGCATTTCTTTTACATTACTACCTTATTATGCTGCATTCTCTGGATCTTTATTTTTATAGAATAATCTCAAAGTGGGGGGAGTAACCCTAAAGCGAACCATTATGGATACCCAGTGGGGTGTGTGTGTGTGTGTGTGTGTGTGTGTATGTGTGTGTGTTTAGGGGTACTCTCAATTTGACTCAAGAAAATCACAATTTTATAGTTCAAATCAGGGGAAATAAATACAGTAAATGGACAAAAGTACAAAGAACATTCATTACACTGGGAAAGGAAGTGAAGTAGCTATTGGCTGTGGTAACAACGAAACTGACCAATCACCATGCTAGATTCCAACTCCTACTTCACACATTAAACGCTCGCTTCTGTCTGAGACTCAGGAAACACCGTGAGAGGAAATGAGGCTGCCATCGAGGGTAGCAGAAAAAAGCACTGTGAATACCTACGACTCTCCTCTCTCCACTGCTGAATGGAGGGTTGTTAAGGCTGGCTTCAGCTGAGCATTGCTATAATAATAAATTATTATTAATTCCCCGCCCATCCGGCTGGGTTTCCCCAGCCACTCTGGGCAGCTCCCAGCAGAATATTAAAAACATGATAAAACACCAAACATTAAAACCTTCTCTAGACAGCTGAAAATGCTTAGCACTTTTGGAAGCAGATTCCATAAAGGGGCACACAACAATGCCTGAGTCCCAAGAGGAACTATTCTGTTTTCGTCTTCATAATGATCCGAACACGTTTCCGACAATACAATAAACAGCACAAACAGCATTTGACAGCAATGAATGTGAAGACTGCCATGCAACCGATCAAGAAGGCAATGACATCCAGGGAGTGATATTGGTACCAGGTCAAGTGATGCGCAGCTACTCTCAAGTGCTTGGCACCTTTGTGGCGCATGACAAACTCAATCCAAAAAACAGCCCGGTCCAGTGGCTTTAACAGTTGGTCATGGTGGATCTGTGATAGCCTTAACGCGTTTTCCTTATATCTGGAGGAAAGGAAGGTGGGGGAGAGAAATAAAAACAAATTGAGATAGGCAGAGGCGTAGGAAGGTCAGGTGGTACCCAGTGCATAAAATTTCTTGTCAACCCACTCCCACGTTGATTTATATATATATATATATATATTGTCTGCAAAAATGGTTTTACATCATTTCATATTTTCTTACAAAGGAATAATAAATAATCATCATCATCATCATCTTTTTTTATATCCCGCCCTCCCTGACCAAAGTCGGGCTCAGGGCGGCTAACATCAGATACATAACATTGGTATAAAATCAAACGGTAATTAATTAACGGTAATTACCTCCTAAAAGCATGTCAAAATCAAATTAAAGTCTAATTAGATGGCTTTCTGCAGTGTTAGGGTTGGGAACAGTAAGTGCTCCAGTGAATTGAAATTTCAGCCTTCACAACATAGGAAAACGGCCAAGTAAACAGCTATTTTCGTGGAGGAGGGTCAAGATATTAACTGATATGCATGGAATTTCATATATAGCCCTATAATCCCTAGTGTAGTAAGATAAGACCTTTGGAGCAGGCATTTTTTTTTAAAAAAAAAGGTTTTTTATGAACCGCCCTACTAGGGCAGTAATTGTTCCTTGATAATTTGTCACCCCCCTCCAAGATGGCCCCCACCCCGCCCCACCCCTTCCTACGTCCCTGGAGATAGGACCAGAACTCAATTTTTGACTGCAGTTTAGCAAGCACTGTAGCATTAAAGTCCTTGATGATTACCCCCAAGATTAAAAACAGCTTTTAAAATCAGCACATTTATTATGTCATCATGATCAATTGGTTAGCCTTTTGTTGCAACACACTCACATGGTCTCACCTCTGGAAATTTTTAGGCAGCATTAAAACTTGCCTACTGTTTTCCATTCTAGATCCAAAAGTGGCTTATTGCTAATGTTGCAGCTGCTTAACTGAAGACAATATCCTGCCCATATTAATATTTTGGAAATATTGCAACAAAGCCTGTTAGTAAGCAGTAGCAATGGGTCCTGCTGGACCTGGCAGGGCTGCTAAGGAGTCATAGGGGTGTGGACAATGAGATCCCAGGGGCCTGATGAGTTGTGGTTTTCTCCCCATCCTCCTCCCTTGCAAAGATATCGTGGACACCTAAGTATTTGTACAACTGCAATGCTTAGGTAAAGGTAAAGGGACCCCTGACCATTAGGTCCAGTCGTGGCCAACTCTGGGGTTGCGGCGCTCATCTCGCTTTATTGGCCGAGGGAGGCAGTGTACAGCTTCCGGGTCATGTGGCCAGCATGACTAAGCCGCTTCTGGCGAACCAGAGCAGCACACGGAAACGCCGTTTGCCTTCCCGCCAGAGTGGTACCTATTTATCTACTTGCACTTTGACGTGCTTTCAAACTGCTAGGTTGGCAGGAGCAGGGACCGAGCAACGGGAGCTCACCCCGTCACGGGGATTCAAACCGCCAACGTTCTGATCGGCAAGTCCTAGGCTCTGTTGTTTAACCCACAGCGCCAACTGCGTCCCTCTGCAATGCTTAGCACCTAACTAAACTGAAAAGGTGTCTTACTTTGGTTCAGAAGGTGTCCCTGCTATCCAGTTGCTTCACTGCTGGGAGAAAAGTTGTGGGGCCACCACCTCTTAGGACCCTCTCTCTATCCTCCTACTTTGCAGTGAAACAGGGCATTTAAACACTGTAGCTGTATAAATACTTAGCACCTAACTAAGGGCTCATCCACACTTCTGCTTGTGCTGTGTCCAGAAAGCATGCATCCCAGCGGTTTTCCTCTTGCCCTGTTCCTTTTTAAGGTAAAACTCACTCTTTGGCAATAGATCAGAACAAATGGCAATCCAGGGCCAAAATGGAATTGCTGTTTCCTCCAATTGAGCACTAAAGAGCAGCTTTCTTTTGGGCGGGGGGAAGCAGCAAGACAAGAGGAAGTGAGGATAAGCCCTGAGCCATAGCTTGGTTCAGAGTTGCTATCGCAATGTCTAGGGTGGATTCATGCCAAAGAAACTGTACATTACTCAACCCATATAAATAGCCAAAGGCGATGACAAATCTGCAGCAACAGAACAAATAGAACGATACAGATCATACATCTATAATATGAGCTAACACCCAAGAAGTGAGAGAAAGGTTACCAGAGACATCAACAAATCGAAAGCCAGCTTGATTTCAAATCAAACAGTTTTTATAGTGGTTTTATCCAACTCCTTTTTCCTGATTCTTCTTTTACAGCCAGTGCAGCCCCACTGAATTCTGTGGGGATTGCTTCCCCATATGTATGCTGAAATATACTCAGAGTCAAAAGTGGATTCCATGCTCTTTATTCAGCTCATAGCGGTGAGGAGGAATGGAAGTTCCCCCAGAATGTCTGCCTTATATACATTATTTACACAATGGGCCCCACGTGATTGGCTAATTCTGGGATTCTCCTGTAGGCCAATCAGATTGCGGATTCCCTTCCACCTGGAGCTGGATTGGGTGGCTCCTGTGGACCAATCAGACTGCTGTATTCTGAATCCTATTAATCTAGGACCAATCAGACTGCTGCCTTTTGGATCCTATTCAACTCAGTACATAACATATGCACTGCATGGCAGCCTGCATAGCTTAGTCTTAAAGGAGCCACACAGGGCTGTTAATAAGTTGACCCACCCCCCATAAATTCCCAGACCTGTGTGAAAAGATTATTCCCCTCTTTCCAGAATGTGCAGTAAAGTGGAGGCATATTAACTGGGCTAGGAGCTGGGAGATCAGAGTCAAAACCATCACAGAGCCATGGAGTTCCCTGTGTGATCTTGGGCCAATTACTGTCTCTCTCAGCGTCAACTCCCTCACAGAGTTGTTGTGAGAATAACATGGGGGGAAGAAGACCCATGAATGCCACCTTGAGCTCCTTTGGGGAAAGATGGAATGGATATAAACTCAATAATTGATAAATAAAGAATGATAATAATTAAAAGTATATTTTCAGCCTGTCTGTCCCTGATTTTGAACTGGGGGAGGACTGTGTGTTTCACCAGGTTTGAGTCATGAAAAACAAACACCTACAAATCAAAGGAGGTGCAAATCTGTGACAGAACTACAATATTTAGGCATATGAGCACCTGACTTTACATGCATATCTTCAGCAAATCCAATGTGTGGGTGCATACTTGCCCGGGTGAGGTGTGCAAGCAGGGTGCAATGCATGCCTTGATACTATGGACATTGATTTGAACCATCCTACTTTTTACAGTAGAGACATCACCTTGCCAACAAAGGTCCGTATAGTTCAAGGTATGGTTTTCCTAGTAGTGATGTATGGAAGTGAGAGCTGGACCATAAAGAAGGCTGATCACCGAAGAACTGATGCTTTTGAATTATGGTGCTGGAGGAGACTCTGGAGAGTCCCATGGACTGCAAGAAGATCAAATCTATCAATTCTGAAGGAAATCAGCCCTGGGTGCTCACTGGAAGGACAGATCCTGAAGCTGAGGCTCCAATACTTTGGCCACCTCATGAGAAGAGAAGACTCCCTGGAAAAGACCCTGATGTTGGGAAAGATGGAGGGCACAAGGAGAAGGGGACGACAGAGGACGAGATGGTTGGACAGTGTTCTCGAAGCTACCAGCATGAGTTTGACCAAACTGCGAGAGGCAGTGGAAGACAGAAGTGCCTGGCGTGCTCTGGTCCATGGGGTCACGAAGAGTCGGACACGACTAAACGACTAAACAACAACAACTTTTTATAGTAGCATTTTGAATCTAACACCATTTTGAATTTATCCTTACAGCAACCCTGTAAAGTAGACTGCAGTGCAATTCTAGGAAATTTTGCAATTCTAGCAAAACAACGGGCGCAGAGCAATACTCTTCCATAATCAGCTTTTGACACTTGGCATGGTTTCTGCCCATTTCCACAGGTAAGCTGCCATACACCTGGCCCTGAAGCAATCTCACATGCATTCTGTGGACTAATGGAGACCACTAGTCATCTCTCACTTTCAGAGGAGAGTTTGCGGTTGACTCACGTGGCGTTGAGAATGACAGCCTTCACAGCATCCACTAAATCTTCAGCTTCCATTGTCTGGATGTCCAGCCCCACAGCCATCCCCTTTGCCTTCATGTGTTGAATATTGTCAGGCTGGTCAGCAAACATGGGAATCCCCACTGTGGGAACGCCATGGTAAATTGCTTCATAAATCCCATTGATCCCACCATGTGTTATGAAGGCTTTGGTCTTGGGGTGTCCTGGAAGGAGAAGATGAGACTCTGTTGACTATGGGATGATAAAAGTAGGTTATTAGCATTGATTCTCAGCAGCAGTGCCCAGCATAGTCCAACTGTCAGGCAATCTCTGAAGATTGCAGTTCACTATACATATTAATGTTTCTAGAACTCAACGCTGACCCTGGCCAAGCACACAACAATAGCTTTTTAAAACAGAGAGTTTGCAGTCCCTGATATCCTGAATATTGGAAAATGCAAAGTACCAAAAATTTAGCACTGTCTGGGAGCTTGGTTTTCCCTGGGGTGTACCCCATGTACCCCCTGCCTCTTCCTGTTATGGGAATGGTTGCTAAACATGGGAACCCCCACTATAGGAATACCATGACAAACAGGTTCATAAATTCCACTGGTTCCACCATGTGTTATAAAAGCTTTGGTATTGGGGTGTCCTGGAGAAGGAAGAGGAAAATTTACTGGATATGAAATGGTTAAATTATAATTGATCTTAAGCTACAGCATTCGAGCTTAGTCCACATGCCATGCTATCCCTGAATGTTGCATATAGATATATCCTCAACAAGAAAGCAGGCAGCACAGAACACAGGAGCGGAGTAAACTTGCTGGTTGGACTAGAAAACTCTCAGGGTCCCTTACTACACTATAGTTCTGTGATACTATTGAAGTGTAGATGGGTTTCCATGAAGCAAAACAAAGTGATAACTGCAGGAACCTTTATTGAACTAACAGAACTGGACAACGTAATAATAATAATAATAATAATAATAATAATAATAATAATTTTTATTTATACCCCTCCCTCCCCAGCCAAGGCCGGGCTCAGGGCGGCTAACAAGCAATAATAAAAACAAATTGAATGAATACAACTTTAAAAACAAGGTTAAAATACAACATTAAAACATTGAAACATTAAAATATTAAAATGCAGCCTCATCACAGGAGGAGAAGGAAAAAGAAAGGTGGGGGGAATCAAATTGGCTCCAAGCCAAAGGCCAGGCGGAACAACTCTGTCTTACAGGCCCTGTGGAAAGAAATCAGATCCTGCAGGGCCCTGGTCTCATGAGACAGAGCGTTCCACCAGGCTGGAGCCAGTGTTGAAAAGGCCCTGGCTCTGGTTGAGACTAATCTAAGTTCCTTAGGGCCTGGGACACTAGGGTGTTGCTATTTATGGACCTTGAGGCTCTCTGTGGGGCATACTGGGAGAGGCGGTCCCGTAGGTACAAGGATCCTAGGCCGTGAAGGGCTTTAAAGGTCAAAACCAGCACCTTAAATCTGATCCTGTACTCCACCGGGAGCCAGTGCAGCTTGAAAAGCACTGGGTGAATATGCTCCCATGGCAGAGACCCCGTGAGGAGTCTCGCTGCAGCATTCTGCACCCGCTGGAGTTTCTGGGACAGCTTCAAGGGCAGCCCCGCATAGAGCGAATTACAGTAGTCAAGCCTGGAGGTGACCGTCGCATGGATCACTGTGGCCAGGTCAGGGCGGGAAAGAACAGGGGCAGAGCAACTGCTTATATTCATTTCTGAATGTCTGGGCCACTCCCAACGTGATTGGCTATCTAAACTTCTAAGCTGCGAATCACAACTCAGAGTTTAAGGGACAATGGCAGTGGCCCAAATCCTGAAACGTTCTGTGGTTGGATTATCATGTGTTGAATCAGGACACAGGGGCTCAGAATCCCTAGTCCGGACTCAAGCTCAGGCAAACACAGACCACTGGATACATAACAACTACCATTCTGTGATCAGGAATGGATCAGAATAGAACAAGGGGAGAATGCTCATTGCTGTCATGAGTGAGGAAAGTGAGGATGGAGGAGAGATATTTCCAAGGGACTGGCAGAACACAGCAATGAAGCCATAACTGCAGCAAGCATGAGGTCTCTCTCACCAAGAAGATCATTTTGTGGTATCCAGTCATAAATCCTGGTGTTGGCACCTAAAGTTTCTGGTCTTTTCCCTTTGTGGCGCCAAAGAACCTGGATTAGGAAGAAAAGAGGAAAGCTTCCATGACTCCTACATTCATAATGTACGGGTAAAATTGAAGAAAACAAATAAACTAAAAGTTATCCAGAGCAAATTCCACCGTCCATCTTCTTCTCTATGAATTATTCTGCACCAGTAATTAACTCTCACAACATTTACAGTGGATACTCGGGTGGCGAACGTGATCTGTGCGGGAGGCACGTTCGCAACCCGCAGCGTTCGCAACCCGCAACGCCGCGTCTGCGCACACGTGGGTTGCAATTCGGCACTTCTGCGCATGTGCAAAATGCGATTTAGCGCTTCTGCGCATGCGCGAGCACCGAAACCCAGAAGTAACCCATTCCGGTATTTCTGGATTTCAGCGGGTCCGTAACCTGAAAAAAACGCAACCTGAAGCATCTGTAACCCGAGGTATGACTGTATTAGACAAGGATAGCTTCAACGTCTAACACAACTCCAATGTATTTAAGTAGATTTCAAGAAAAGAAAATCTTTAATGTGTTTGCAGTAAAGGGATGCAATTTCACAGGTCAGTTAAGGGAATTGGGGCAGCATTTTCACAAGTCCACTGTACAACTTTTTGTTTTTGTTTTCTATACCAAACAACATGAACACTGACCTTCTGTGGAAGCTGGCTAAGTGCCGATGCAACCATGTTACTTTTTCCATCCGTTAAGTTTGCAACAAGAGAGCCCAGAGAAAACACCACAATGCCATGTTCTCCTGAACTCTGGACAAATTCTTCCATTTCCTGTCAAAAGTTCAAAGCATATTTAAAAATAAATATATTGACAAGTCACATTCCTCCATGTCTTTGCCGTTTGAACCTGATGCATGAGTAGCAATGTGAATATTTTTCCTGATATTTAATGTTGTGAGGGAGTGTTTGGGAAATGATCTTTAAGTTCCAGCTTCCAAACTGTGCTTTAGGCTCCATGGATAATAGGCTTCTAAAGGTAAAAGGTAAAGGACCCCTGGACGGTTAAGTCCAGTCAAAGACGACTCTGGGGTGCGGCAATCGTCTCACTTTCAGGCTGAGGGAGCTGGTGTTTGTCCACAGAGAGCTTTCCAAGTCATGTGGCCAGCATGACTAAACCACAACGTAACACAGTGACAAGTGCCAGAGCACACAGAAATGCCGGTTACCTTCCTGCCACATTGGTACCTATTTATCTACTCGCACCGTTGTGCTTTCGAACTGCTATGTTGGCAGGAGCTGGGACAGAGCAACGGGAGCTCACCCCATCGTGGGGATTCGAACCGCCGACCTTCCAATCGGCAAGCCCAAGAGACTCAGTGGTTTAGACCACAGCGCCACCCAGAGAGCAGAGTTTACAACAGACCAAGTCACTGGTCACTCCAGCTGCAGACACCTTTCCCCACTTTTTCACCTGTGCTTTTCACATCAGCCTGAAAAGCAGAAAATTAAGCAGGCCAAGTTCTTCCTGGCACAACTATATCAGTGATGATAAGCTTCCATCCTGCTCATTCACTACATTTGCTACACTTCTCAAAATGTATAATTCACCCAGCAAGAACAATGGGACCTTCTCTGAAGAAAGCACACCCAACTGAAATTTGGTTTCAGAATTACCTCTGGCAAAGGCTTGGCTGGCTGACACTGCAGACCCCCCACAAACTCAAAATTTGGTAGGAGAGGCCGTGGGAATTCAAGGTCCCAGTAGGTACGGATCAACCAGATTTCCGCTTTCCCCATCACTTCACACTGAGTTGTGGGTCTCCCTGTCGAATGAGAAAGAGGAATGAGGTTACATTCAGCTTGTCTCTCCTTCACGTTTTCAACATTTCCACAAATAGTGAAAGCTGGTTCACACATTACATTTCAACTGGACACCTAAAAAAAAGTAAGAGATGTGAACAGGAACTGGGGACAGAAAGAAATACATGTATTATGAGCACTCATTCATTAGCAAGCCTGGACTGGCTATGGCTCCTTCATGGATATTCTTTCAGGGGTAAGTCCAAGTTTTCTCTTCCATAATGTTAGAAAGAACCAATTGGCCTGAAGTCAGCGTTGGTAGCTGAATGTGCACCAGAACTAGTGACAATCTATTGACAAACCAGGCCATTGGTTCAGTTCTTGTTACTGAATTCTGCAAAGAACCCTGTGCAGATACTATCTGTTGCAGCTTTTGGTTCCTTCCGTTTCCTTGACTTTCTTTCCCCCTCAATATTACTGATGCATTGATAACACATCTTCCCCTCAAAACAACAACAACAGTGTGGTGGTGATCACACATACAGCTTTATGAAAATTATCTTCATGTGGTATCTTTCCAATGTGCAGGAGCTAAGGATAGGTCAATTGTGGCTGCTCTGTTTCTTTCTTCCACAATAAATTGTCCACATTAGTGCATTAAAATGTCATTCATTTTAAAAGTTTTCACAAAAAAGTGTCACTCCTAACAGACATATTTTTGTATGCACTTTTGCATATTATACACATCTTTGCAAGCAGTTTTCCCAAATATACAAAGCTATTCTCACAAATGTATGCATTTCCCTGCATGCTTCACATAACTTACACATTTTTGTACAATGTTTTTGGTCGATTGAACTGCATTGCAAAATTCAGGTAACTCCAGTTTCAAAGCATAGTTGTGTGTCTGTCACTCCGGGAAGTGGAATTTACATAGGTTTACAATATCAGATCAAGTTTCTCTGCCATCCATTGCAATAAAACACATCAGTAAAATATTGCACAGAAGGATCCTGATGAAATAATAGATAGAACTACATAAAAGTTGCTTGCTCATCATTTGTTGAGTGATGGAAATGAGCAGAAAATCCCAGAATAATGTCTGTGCTTCAACTCCAAAGCTAATTTTAGATATCATTCTAGTTCAATTTGAGCTCAGGGGGAGTTGTACAGAAGGCAAAGCAACTGGGTGAAGCCATAAAAGAACAAAGCAGGTAAGATTCACTCCTCACTCCCTTACAGATGATCAGGCTCTAAAGCTTAGTAGAGTCTATTCCCAGCTGACCGTGGCTCTACACAGCCTCAGGATGAGGCCTTTCCAGTCCTGCTACTTGGAGGCCCTTTCTAACTGGTCGTGCCAAGGACTGAAGTTGGAATCCTTGGCCTCTTTAGAGCATCTACTCTACCAAATAATAATAGCACTTTGGGAAGAAGAAACAAAAACAGGCTTACCTAAAACCTGACTGTAATAAGAGTCCCAATCGCCATACCAGGTCTGGAAAACATGGTCTTGCACGAGGTAAGATATTATATTCTTCACCCTTTCTCCAAAAGACATTCTGTCTGTGAGCCCAGACAAGACAGCCGGGGCATAGGAAGGAGGGGCAGGTATCTTGCCACAGTGTCTCTCTACTGTTAGGCCTGGCGTGAACTGCAGGGTGTACACAAATGGGATGTCCATTTTCACAGCAATCAGGTCGCCACAGGGTGTCGCAGGGTCTGCAAGGAGCACGTCGTAGTTGCTCTTTTTCAGGCGGGCCATGAGTTCCTGATCGGCCAGCACATTTTCACACTTGAACTTATGGAACTCATGTACTTTCCTCATCATCTTTCGCATCTCTTGGTAAAACCTGTAGAAGGTCAGAGCAGTTGGCTTGTGGTCCAGCAACAACGTGACAAATTCCTCAAAGAATGACTGGGCCTCATCCTTTCCATAGGGCACAGGGAACACCTCAAACTTGGCAGCTGATATATCATCGCTGGGTTCGATTAAGATGGACGCTGATGGGGCTAGGATGCTGACATTGTGACCTCTATGCAGCAGTTCCTGGATAATGACCTTGATATTTAGCCAGTGGCTGGCATCCTCTGGCCAGATAAGCACATTCCCACAGAAAATGTTTCCTACTAAGGCAAGCTGAAGTATTAACAATTGAATTGCAACCGTTCTTGCTGAGGTGGGGACCATGATGTGCTTTTCTGGGAAAGCCAAAGATTCGTCTTCTGTCACTTGTCAACAAAGATGTCATTCAGTGCATAAAACTCCTATTCCACACCCTGCTTCAGAGAAGACTTTTTACCAAGTGTGTTGAGTCTTGATTTTTAACTGTCCAGGTGGAACACTGTTTGAAGATTTCTGGAATGAGAAGACAAATGGCACAACCCATCTCCATCACTGTTTCAACTGAATGAATGATGTTTTTACATAACCATAACCAATACAAATCTACTACCCACGCCAAAAAAATTACTCGAATATCATTTTATTCAAATAGATGATACACCTATCTTCTCCTGGGCTATATCGATCAGGTCATTGGGGTATAGGCTAATGGCAGCTGTTCCAGTGGTGTAGCTGCCTCAATATATTTGGGGGTATAGGATTGTTCATGGAGTTTTCTTGGCAGGGATATCAGAGTGGCTAGCCGGTTCCTGCTCCAGGTGGCAAACCTAGACAGCATATTAAAAAGCAGAGACATCACCTTGCCAACAAAGGTCCGTATAGTTAAAGCCATGGTTTTCCCAGTAGTGATGTATGGAAGTGAGAGCTGGAGCATAAAGAAGGCCGAAGAATTGATGCTTTTGAATTATGGTGCTGGAGGAGGCTCTTGAGAGTCCAATGGACTGCAAGAAGATAAAACGTATCCATTCGGAAGGAAATCAGCCCTGAGTGCTCGCTGGAAGGACAGATCCTGAAGCTGAGGCTCCAATACTTTGGCCACCTCATGAGAAGAGAAGACTCCCTGGAAAAGACCCTGATGTTGGGAAAGATGGAGAGCACAAGGAGAAGGGGACGACAGAGGACGAGATGGTTGGACAGTGTTCTCGAAGCTACCAGCATGAGTTTGACCAAATTACGGGAGGCAGTGGAAGACAGGAGTGCCTGGCGTGCTCTGGTCCATGGGGTCACGAAGAGTCGGACACGACTAAAAGACTAAACAACAAATAGGATTTTTCTACTACTTTCACCAAGCACAACGTAACCTGTTATTTTCCCAGCTTGGATGATCCTCCTACTAACTGTGTTCATGGCATTCCAACATGCAGACATCATGCCCATTATATTTGCAGAGCAGAGCAGACTTGTGAAGCAACCTTCCTGGGACTGTTCCACTAGGAACAGGTGGGAGATTACCTGTCTATTTCCTCCCTGCACACTGAAAGTTCGCATCTCAGTGGGGAGAAAGAAGGCTCAGGCATTTTCCCTGACAAGCTACCTTACCATCTGCTGGGAGTGCATAGACATGCTATCTTGTATGTGGACATGAGTCCCAATTTGGGAGAAAGGCGGGATGCAAATATATTAAAATGATAATAAGAAGAATCGACTTCCACATGCAGCCTGAAGTGGTACAGTGCCAGCGTTCTGTGTTTGCAGGGCCGGATTAAATGTTTTAGAGAAGGAAGTGTCCCAGAATTGCAGCCTTAGCTGCCTTAGGGGCCAGTTCCTTTGCAGGGCTACACCGCTGTAATTACTGTTTCTCTTTCATTATTTTATTTTACGGTAAAATGGAGCATTGAAAGAAAAAGAAAGAAAACAAAAAGAGGAAGCAGAAAATAAAAGTTCCACATCCAGCCCAGCCCTCAGCCCCTCAAGGTTCCAACATTTGGGGACCCTTCATCATTACGAAGGAACTGACCATCATCATGGCGACTGCATCATAAACCGTACTTTTCCGTGTATAAGACAAGATTTTTGGTGTTATTGGTGGCTGCGGCAAGGGCTGGTGTGGATTTGCTGTCACTGCGACAATTGGGCGGGCAATTGGTGGTTTCCGGCGGTGATGGGACATATGAAAAGGCAGCTTTTGGGATGTGCGTGAATGGCAGCGTAGGTCAGGCGGGTGAGCGATTTTCGTCAATCCCCCCTTAAAAAAGCTCAGTAACCAATCCTTCCCCCCAAAAAAGCTCAACAGCTCTGGGCAATCTTCACCCATTTTCCTAATTTTGAGTCCCCCCAAATACGGGGCATCTTATACACGGGGGCATATTACACACGAAAAAATACGGTACCTTGGGTCACATGATTCCCTTCGCCCTCAGCTTGGCCAACAATTCACTTTGCCTTCCAATACAAAAGATTTTAGGTGTCTCCTGACTTACCTGGATTTGCTGAGATCCCCAGTCCCTGCTTCAGTAGTAGAGAAACAGAGGTTTCCTCCTTCTCATAGGAAGACTGCACACTGCTGGTGGAAATTGACTATTTAAGCATAAAACACAACTGAGCCCCATGAGCTCTAACAATTACAGTCCACACCCTTACCAGTAACAAACAAAAAGCCTAAAGGTTTTCCTGTAATATTTTTGCAAAGCTGGTGATCACCAAAATTACTAAATTTTAACATTCCTTCCCTCAGGTTGTATTAAAAGCATTTCCTGCTATGGCACAAGCAGAAAGCACACCGTTCACTTCCAAAAAATCAGAGAAAGAGACGGGAAGGAAGAAAAAAAGAACAGAGAAATGTGGAAAGACAGGAGATTTGGGGAAATGAAAAAGGCAAGAGGAAGCAAGAAAAAAAACAGGTGCATTTAACTTTTTGTTGTTGTTTATTAAATTTGTATATTTCCCTTCAGCTGTAGATCTGAGGGTGGTTCACAGCATAGAACTACAAGGAAATTTAAGAACATTTTCATGTATGCGACAACAGCGGCAAGAGTCTTAATAGCACAAGGATGGAAGAATGAAGAAACCCCAACTAAAGAACTGTGGCAAGAGAAACTGATGGACTATGCGGAATTGGCGGAATTGACACACAAACTGCGTGACAAGGACAACTGTGACTTTAAAGAAGAATGGGAACCTTTTACAAAGTATTTCAAGAAACAACAAAATGAATTGGACTCCTTGGCAGGTTTTGAATAAACATACACAAATTTTTTATTAATAACACATAGTAAATGTAAAGGGACCCCTGACCATTAGGTTCAGTCGTGACCGACTCTGGAGTTGCGGCGTTCATGTGCAATGGCCCACAAGAGTTGAGGGTCTTCACAAAATGGCTCCTCAAAAACTGCCTGGTTCTTGCCTCTAGCAATGTCAAACAGAGGTGTAAACCTGCCCGTCCAAAGGGGGTCGTTGATTTGGAAGCTGGGTCCATCGAGTCCCTAGAGCAACATAAATTGCCCAGCATGCGTTCCATGACAGGTAATTTTATACCGGGCAATGGCTGCCCATACATTTTAGAGAGAGCAAACCCAAAGAGTGCTCAGAGACTGAGAGACATATACCGTATTTTTTGCCCTAAAGGACTCACTTTTTCCCCTCCAAAAATGAAGGGGAAATCTGTGTGCGTCCTATGGGGCGAATACAGGCTTTCGCTGAAGCTTGGAGAGCGAGAGGGGTCGGTGCGCCCCGACCCCTCTCGCTCTCCAGGCTTCAGGAAGCTATCAGCAAGCCTGGGGAGCCCGCGGGAGTTCCCGCAGGGCTCCCTAGGCTGCAGATAGCAGCCTGCCGCCCGGCGCGCAGGGCGCCCTGAAGCAGAGCGCCCCGCGCTTCGGGCAGACATCGGCCAGCCCCACAAGCTCAGGGAACAGCGGGGAGGCGGAGCGCCGCCATACTGCTGTTCCCCTTCCTGGTTTGGTTTCCCCGACCTGGTTTGGGGGGGGGGAAATAAAGGGGGGGGAAATTCCTTTATTCCCCCCCCCAAAAAAAACTAGGTGCATCCTATGGGACGGAAAATACGGTAATAAGTGGATGGTTGCGGGGAGAGAGAAATAGAGGGAAGCTGGTGGTGGCAAAAACCTCTAGGTAAACAGAAGAAGATGGGGGACACTTTCTCAAAAAGTGACTCTTTAGTTCCCATTCCTATACCAGCCAAAACATATTTCTTCACCCAGATTAAGGAATGGGTATCATCTCTTTCCCCGAAATAACTGTGGGCATTTCCCAAATAACTCCCCCATTCTTCTCAAGGCACCTCTGTTCTTTTTGCTTCCTCTCTGCCTTTTACGTTTCTCCAAATTCCCCATCCTTTCTCCCCCTCCTTTCTTATGTGTGTTTTTTCCCCTTCCTTCCCATACCTTTCTCTGCTAATTCTTATTTTCTGTTTCCTCTTTCCCGTTCTTCAATTCAGTTACGAGAAGTTTCAGAGGGAACAGGGTGCTTGTTGCTTGCGCCACACCCAGGGGGAAAGTTCAAAATAAACCCTGAGGGATCGAATGTGCTCAAATGTGTGCAACGGTATTTGGGGAGTCAAAAGTTAGTAAGTGTGAGGGTCACCAGCTTCCAAAGGACAACACATTAAAAACTTCCCTGAAATCTCAGGCCATACCAACAAGGGAAGAGTGGATTTGTAAATTAAGTGAGTATATAGAATTGGCAAAATTAACTTCAATTATAAGATATCAATCAAACCAAAAGTTAAGAATGGAGTGGAAGTATTTCGAAGATTATATGTCAAAATATTGTTCTAAAAATGACATGTCAATAGGCTTAGAATAAAAAATGTAAGCAATAACAAAACAAAGAAAGAAAGAAAAATCAGAATTTAACAAAAATAATTTATTATAGAATGCAAGGGGGGAAAGGTAGAAAGAAATATACAGAAGTCAAATTGCTGTGGAGGGAAGTAGAGGGTGAGTGATGGGTTTTATAATTAAGTGTATAATTATGCAACTGTTGTAATTTAGATATTATATTTTATGTGAGGGAATCATTGGGAATTTTGGTTAATATGTATAAATGTTTCAATAAAGTTTCAATAAAGAACTTTGAAAATAAAATTTAAAAAAAACTTCCCTGAACAGGTAAGCCTGGGGACTCTTTTTTCTATTTTTCCTTTTGACTGGGAGGCAAAGTGAATTGTTGTCCAAGAGGCAGAGGTGGAAGAAGGGGGGCGGTGGGGGCGATCCGCCCCAGGTGTCATCACTGAGGGGGGGTGACATTTGGCGCGCTGCCCGCCTGCAACTCCCAAGCCTACCCCGAGCCGTCGGGTGAAGGGGCAGAGGGGCAGAGCCTTGCTGGCAGCC